TAATTTGTTCTGTTTTGATCTAATTCTAATACTCTTTCCATTCATAAAAGCGTATTACCCCTTTCGATCAACGTGTAAAAGTCTATTACTTTTAAAATGATTTTATTAACATAGTGGTTTAAAAATTAAAAATTAAAAATATAAATTTAAAAATTACATCAAAAATTCTATAAAATAATAGGTGACAAAAATATTTTATTTTATCAGGTCATCAATGAAATTATGCAAATAAAAAATTTATCGAGAAACTATAATAAAAAAGTAAATCATTTTGTAACAGAGGTAGTGCAAAAAATAAATACAAAGTAATAACAATAAATTAAAGAGAATCGCTTCTAAGATCATTCGAAAATTGTAGCTTTTTTTAAAAAAAGGTTACAGTTTTGCTAAAAGGCTACCTCATTTATCGTTATTGCTAAGAGGAGTGGAAATGGGCATAACGCCCTGCGCGTCCAACGCGTTTTTAACGCCGGGCAGGACGTTAAACACCGCCCCCTTCATTCGTCATACGGGCATTATGCGACATGCATTAAATGTTTGACGCAGCCGCTGCTGCCACATATAGCCGCTCCGTCCTAACCGTCTAAGGTGTAATTTTAGGTCGTTGGCCATATCCAATTTTATTTAATTTTGTATACTATAAATACCCCTTATTTTAAAAACAAAAAACCCATATAGCATATTCTCATTCTCTCTATAATTTCTCCAAAATATATTCTGTTTCTTTTAATTCTCTTTAGAAAATACCCAAAAAAATGGGATCAACTTCATCGCGTGATGAAAGAAGAGCTCTTATTTTTTGTTGTTTCGCGAAGGGATGTTACCAATAGTGACAACAAATTAAACATAACAAGAGGGTGCGGAATCGTCCCAATGCTTGACCCGATGTGAGCATTTAAACCATGATCGGGCGGCTACACACGAAACACTACTCAACGACTACTTCAATACTCCGTGTGCTTACACATCAGAAGATTTTAGTAATCGTTTTCGGATGAACCATTCTTTGTTTTTACGCATACTCGCCGATATTGAACGTGAGGTACCTTGGTTCACTCAACGGTTTGATGTGAGAGACCGACACAGTTTTTAACATCGTCCAAAAGTGCACCACCACACTTCATCAAATGGCATACAGGACAACTAGTGATATGTTCGACGATGAATACTTGAAGATATCGGCTCGAAACATCCGGTCATGTGTTTATAAATTTTCGAAAGCAATTATTCGACTTTATCATAAGAGGTACTTATGTAAGCCAACGACAAGCGATATTAAGCAGTTACAAGTGAGACATGTCGCTAAACACCGTATTGGAATGGAAAAATTGTTTCACTGTGTTGAAAAATTGTAAGTTAAATTTGTCAAAATCGACATATAAATTACGAAGTATGATTATTCGAATATTCGTTTAAGATTCGTTAGCTATTCAAATATTAATCAAATACATATACAAATCTTATTTTAATTTTGCTTCATATTTGGGTTCGTATTCAAAAAAAATAAGCGAATACAAAGTCAAATTAAATATTTCGGTATTCACATCGATTTGGATTTTTGTGTTACCTTAATTTGATGAAATCTTAGTAATTTATATGCACTTTATACTATATTAGTTTACTTGACTACTGATGTTCAAAACATGGTCTCTCTCTCTGTGTGTATATATGTGTGTGTGTGTGTGTGTATGTATGTATATGTATATATGTGTGTGTGTGTGAGAGTGTGTGTCAAATGATGATTTTAATTTTTTGAGTAGTTGAAATAGCAAAATTAGTCAAAAAGCTTAAAATTGGAAGGAAATTAAATTTTTGAAACACAAATTAACTTAAAGGAATGTGCTTACATGTAATTTTACTTACAAACAACTAACTATAAACAGTTAAATTTACCATACATGTAATTTTTAATATCTAACACAAACAACCAGTGAAAATAGGTAATTCAATCAGTCATTTAAACCAACCAACAACCACGTTCCAAACAAAGCCATTATAAAAGTGTGAAGTTAAGGCTACGTCTTAAAAGGAAACTTGTGGGTTGTGGCAATATTAGAGCCCAGAAGATAAAAAAAGAACATTATAAAAAGATTAAAAACAATTAAAACAAAAAAAAGATTAAAATCTTTTTTTAGAAAAAAAAAGGATTATAACATAGACAGATTAGAGCAGCACTTAGCTGTGAGTAGCAGAATAAATGTGCTGGATATAGAAAAAGGGAAGTGGGGGCCCTACCTTAATTCAAAGCTTCCTCAATAAGACCGCACCCGTTGGCAATCCACTTTACACCCGTTTTCCAACGGTAATGTACATTTCTTAAACCCTTTTTTATTTATTTAATTATGCCTTAATAATATTCCAAAAAAATGCTTTGATTAATTACTTTGATATAACTTGCACCTTAATATAGACATTTGATGGGTGCGTTTCACCCAAAACCTGGTCCGAATCCGGGTCCACAACGATTTACCGATCAAGTTGTAAACATATCAGGATGGAAGATTTGAACTAAAATAGAGTACTGGTCGTGTCCAAAAAAGTATACCGGTGTAGTCTTTAGAAACACCGGTTGGAGTACGTGACTTCGAGCTGGTGGTGTTCCGCCCCTTCAAAACGCAGGAGATAGACCTCTCGAGCAGGTTGCTACGGTGTAAAAATGTCGGCACGGATTATACCGAAATCGGTTGGATGATAGTGACCGATTTCAACGAAAGATTATTGAAGAAATATTCTATCAATCTCAACTGGGTGCTATGCGCCAAAGGAGTCATCAGCACAAGATGACAAAGGAATAAGACAAAATGATACAGGATAAAAAGAAGCCACCCTGCGCCATCTGAGAACGTGGGTTGATGTGGACGCGCGACACTCTATCCCCTCCCTTTCCTTATAAATACCTATGTAACCCTCAAATGAAGGGATCTGGAATTTCATCTCTCTAGAGTTCATATTGTACTAGCTCCCAACACTCTCCACATACTTAATAACAATTGGACTACAAGTGCTTCACCTACAGTCTTCCCGACCAATCTTTGCTTTCTGCACTTCTTTATTTTCTAAGCTCAGCAAATTATTCTAGACCCGGTTTATTTACTATTTTATTTTTTAACTATAAACTTGCTATACTATGAGGAGTTTGTTATATTTAACAAGTCAAAATCAGTTTTTGGCAAGCTTGCTAAAAATATAGCACATCTTTTGGAGATGAACAAAATCACTTGGCTTGCTGTATATATCTTTTAAAAAGTCAAAATGATAGGATTGGAGACGCTCAAAGTAAATACTGTGTAAAAAATATGGAATATTACTAAATGGATATTGAAAACAAGAAAATAAAGAAAGTGAATATAATTTGATCTGTGGATAATTTATTTTTTTAGAAAATTAATTACAATAAATTCTTTTTCAAAATTAATTCACCCTAATTTACGACCTTAGCCGTGTTGCTAAGCATGGAGTCTAATCACCCGACAATGGAGAGTCGGGACAAGTACATGGGATACGCAAAGATTTTGTTTCTAACGGCTGGAAACATATCCCTTGTTACACTCATAACACAGCTGGGTATGGTTGCCCTCCCTAATTAATTATTTTTAATTTATTAATTAATCCTCTTGACTTCCTTAAATTAATAAAAGATCCACTTACCACCCATAAAAAAGTGAGAGAAGGTAAGGTCCACATTAGATTCATGATAGAACAAATCTATTTAGAAATTGTCTCAGTTGGTCCGCCAAGAAATGTTAAAGGAGATAAATTTTTTATGTTTGAAACAATGTACAAAATCTCATTTATTTTAAAATGGTTTTATTTACAAATTCGTATATAAATAAAAAATATAACATATATATTTAAAAAAAATTATATCAAAAATTTTACAATATAACTTAATATTTTATTTTATCAAATAACTATGAAAAAAGTATATACAAATAAAAGTTATCAAAAACCTGAAAAAGTAAACACGAGATAATTTTTCTGATGGAGGGAGCATAATTTAATAAGCGGTCATACACATAATAGTAAGACACTCCATGTTGTCTAACAGCCAACTTAAAATATTACTCGGTTTAAATTTTTGTTTTAGTTTTTTTAAAATCTTACCACCAATGACCCAACACTCTATTTGGTTGATTGACCAGTCAAACCATCCAAAATGGTCAAAATAACCAAGAGTCAACTGAAAACTCAAGTTCCAAACTTGACCTATATATGAAAAAAATTACACCAATAATTTAAATCAAAAGGTTTTACGTTAATAATCTCAAATTTAGAATTAAACAGTAATGGTCACAGCTTAATAAATAAAATGGTAGTATGTTACAGAAATAGTGCTGCTATAAAATTATGTAAATAAATTTTTTATTGTATGTTATGTAAATAAAAATTTGTTGTTGGACTTGACTCAAATTAGACTTGTTTGTATTGTAGGCTCTCACTTTAACATGGATAATGACCAAAAAGACCATTCTACTGGACCATTACAAAAAAAAATGTACACAATTTTACCCTTATTAAAAACACAAAGGATTTTTTATTTAGTCTACTATTACCTAAAGGTGAAATAGTACTATAAAAATGAGTCTTTTATCTCCATTAACAAATTGATATGGAACATTTTATTTTTGCCTCTAAAGGGTAAAGACCATCCATCATTATATTTGATAAACTGTATATACAAATAGCTACTCCCTCCGTCCCAAAAAGTCTTTCCTGTTTCATTTTTTGCGCATCCCATAAAACACTTCTACCGATATCTAAAATGCCTAAAATTTACAACATTTCTTCTTTACTGTGGGTAGAAGTTATTTTGAAAGTTTTTTTGGCATTCAAGGCGGGATAGAAGTGTTTTTTGGGATGCGCAAAAAATGAAACAGGAAAGACTTTTTGGGACGGATGGAGTAATTCATAGCCTCAAATACCAACACACAACAATTAAGCACATTCTTGACTCCTTAGAAACACAAAGATTATTTGCAGAAAACAAAATGCAGATAAGTCCATCCTGCTCATATTTATTTGGCGCACGNTGTACACGGTTAAACTATACAATACAACATACCATAACAGTACAAGCATGCACTCATATTGCAGAGTAACTGTGATCATCTAGAGGAGTGTGTGAAGAAAGGACAGTCAAGAAAACAAAGGCCCCGTATAGAATCGTTGCAATGGCTGTGAAATTGATAAGAAATGCCTCAGATCCGTATTTGTACAGACCCGAGCTCTCAAGGAAGGTGAGCTTCTCAAGAAACCCCAAACACACATTCCCGACAGCCAAGACATACACAAAGCTACCAAATAGCACATGCCAAGGAAGCGATTCGCATCTGATATTTGATGTTCCTCCCGGGTAGAAGAACACCACAAAGCCATAAATCCACTGCAAATTGATAACATATTGTTAAAGTATAAAACCTTTGATGTGTCTACTCTCACAAGCTTGAGCTTCTGGTTGAGTTGGTTACTTGACATATACTAGTAGTTTGGAACCATATAAGCATTGAGACCTGAAACGATTAACCAAACGGCGAATATAACAAGAATCACCTGAATGGCATAAAGAACAATGACACCTATTCCAAGCCATGAATGCAAGCTGTACAAATTGGCAAGGCCGCTTTCATTGTGATTCTTGAAGGCTGCCCAGATCCCGACGATACCAAGTACCAAGGCGACAGCGTGCAAAGCCAGATGAATCGTCTTTTTCACTTCCTTGTTAAATGGGAGTGATTTATAACTCATAATAGCTGCAGATTAGGAAAGCAAAGAGATGGTCAATTTACCTTTGAGGTTAAAAAAAATTAAATGCGATATAGGATTCACCTTCTCCTCCAAGAATAATGAAGCCGATGAGCATCAAGACCGGGTGAAGCTGTGAAAGATTAAAAAAAAGAACATACCAATCATACGCAACATGAGTTGTCTAGCAATTAATCCCTGAATTTTGTTCAGCAATAAAAGTACACTTTAAGTATGATTTCATTTTGCATCTCCAATGTTAGCAATAATGACCACATTGTATCAAATCATACAACAGTTTATTTCACAGCCCCAACATAAGAAGATGTCTGTTTGGCAAGGAATGTTTTGCTGAGTTTGCATAAACTTCAAAAAGGGAAGTGTTTGGTAAAGAAAAACACTAGAATTAATCAATTGTTTAAGCAAAACCAAACCTTTGATCCTGCTTAAAGGCCAAACTGTTAAATTCACACATCAGAATATTGATAAGAAAATGGTGGGTGGATAAAAATCTTGAATGGGACTAACAAAATGGAGTAATTGGATATAATCTTTGACTGTGTTTTTGTTGGGGGAGAAGCAACAAGTAAGATACAACACCTACAAGGATCAAGGATCAACTTCAAGACAACCAACCAAACACTTAACCCAATTCGCCACAATTGATTAACCAAGCACACAAAATCAACAGCACATCAAATAAACCACAATCAAATATGAAGAATAAAGATGCAAACGACACACGATTTTTATACGTGGAAAACCCCTTCGATACGAAGGATAAAAACCACGGGACTTATAGGGAGTCCACCCTCTTCTTCTCTTATTATGCAAATTGAGGGTAAAAACAACCAAACTCAGTCTACAAGGATGTCACAGCCCACCAACAACAACATACATAAGAGCCATCAACAAGAGAGAAGGAAAATCAGGATTATCACCCAAAAACGCAGCGTCGCACCAGCTGCTATTACAGAAGATCCGTAGCTCCGATTGATGTGAAAATTGAACAGATTGAAGCCCTAAGTGTTGGGAACAACCTCTAAAAATTTCAGCTCAATCCAACGGTCGGATCTCCGGAGATGATCGAATTTGTGCGGCTGGTCTGTAAATTCTGCACCAGCACCTTTCCTCTCTATTCTGTTTTTTTTTCTCTGCTCTGTCCGTAAGTACACCACTACCCAGCCCTTTTTTCTCCTTTTTGTTAGTCAAGAAAGTAAAGGAAAAACTTTCCTATCATTCGACCCCCACAAAGAAAAATGGAACCCAAATGAAAATGGGCTGGACCCACAACAGTTTTGACTTAAATCTCATGATTCAACTTCAAATTCAAATCAAACAAAACCAGATATGAATTGAAAGCAAGTGAGAAATTAAAGAGAAGAGCAAAAAGGGGTGGATGCACATACATTAAAGATGAGATTTTTATTGGTAGCTTCCCAAGCTAATCCGCCCCTGAAGTGAAAGCTCCAAACCAACACCATCGCCGCCAGCGCCGCCGCGAGGAAGTGGGCCACAAACGAGAAATAAAGCGCCTTTGCCGGAATCGCCATCCCTCTTCTTCAAACACTTCTGTTTCCTGATCAGAGTAGAGAGAGGGGTGAAGGGTACATGAAGATGGAGAAGGACCTGCGGAATCTTCTTAAGTCAGAGGACGCCACGTCGCCGGAGGGGATAGGGAAGGAGCAGGAATTCGTGTGTTGAATATCGGTTGGAGTCGTGGTTCGTTCTTTAACCAACCAGTCCTCGCTCAGATCAAATTTTTTTTCTTGATAGAGAGGGGTGTCTAGAATTAACTTAAGTTGAATGAATCTAGCCATACATTTGTCTAGAATCATCTATTTTCGATCTTAAAAATTATAATGGGGAATGAAGAAAGTATAATTTAATTAGTGATAAGCGGGTAGTCGGAATGAGTGGCATTGGCAGTGATGGCTTTTGGTGAGGGTGATCGAGGGTAGATGCAAACATCAAATTTTTATATTGTTATCTCTCAAATTCAGAAGATATAACACCTTACATTTTAAAAGTTTGTGATATTTAGAGATATTAAATCAAAATTATTTTAATGCTTCGCCAAATACCAAAATAAGATTTTGATATTAGAAAATATGGGAACAAAAATCTCCTACACTCACAAAACGGGTCCCAACTCCTAACATTATGATTTATTTAAGAAATTTGAAAGAAAAAAGAAAATAAGAGAGAAAATAGTTTCTATTATTTGGTTATAGAGAAAAATAAACGAAGATGGAAAGAAATGTAAATGTTAAAAGAAATAAATTAGAGAGATGGAAAACATATTTAATTTCATTCCGTTTTAGTGAAGGAAATGAAAGAAAATCACTTGCATTTTTTTCTTTTTGAATTTCACGAACCAAACATAAAGTAAGTGTTTTGTACGGAGTATATTAATTGACGGTATTTCTTTAGTATTGAGAATCAATGTCATGAGATGATATCAACCATGTGCGATGTTTCATAGAGCTCCAATGGTGATTCATACTCTACTCAACTCTTCCAAATCTTAACCCACTCTCTCCCATCCCAACTAAACCACTATCTTCTCTTCTTCACATAGGAGTATATTTTATCTATTTTTGATGTCCAATGATAATGTTTCTCTTTTAATCACATCTTGTTTTAGCATTTTTATTAAACATCATTACCTCAATTCATACAATGTAATACAGAGTATTAGATCATATATGAATTTCTCAATCTACTAAACACATTAAAGAGTCGTTGTCACATTAAATTTCAAACTTGTAACCATAATTTAGAAAAAAAAGTCATATCGTTCGAACACAATGTCCTTGACTTTTTAATTAACACAATACACTTCCATTTTCAATAACTTTATATTGTTTTCACATAAGAATTGGAATATCTTGTTGGAAGAAAGAGTTAATATGTTTGAATAAAAAAAAAATGAGATGAACAATGAAAGAGGAGAAACATGCATAAGTATTAGTAGTTTAATGAATTTTCTTCCCTTTAGTATCCTTTTCAACTGGTTTCTTCTCCTCTTTAATATTTCCTGCCTCCTTCTTCTTCTTCTTCTTCTTCTCCTCCTCGTTCTTCTTCTTCTCATTATCTTCCATGGCGGCGGCAGGACCGACCGATAGTATATCAACTTTCCCAACTTTCTTCTTCACTTTCTTCAACAAAGCAACCGCATCCATATTCCCTATTACTGTTAGTTTCCCTTCTTTCTCCTCTGCAGCTATGGACTCCACTCCTACACTCACTCACACACACACACATACCACACATAATGTTATTAGTCAAATAATTAATGATATATATTAAAACTAATTAAAAGATATAACTAAATATTGTTTGAAAATAATAATAATAATAATAATAATAATGGCAGTGTTTGTATTTTCGTTAGTTCTCATTCATATTCTTAGTTGGGGTTATAATCCCCTTTGTATACTCCCTCCGTCCCAGAAAACCTCTCCTTTCTTTTTTCATCCGTCCCAAAAAACACTTCTCATTTCTATTAAAAAGTCACTTTTATCCCTAACTTTTTCATACGCTACCTATCACATCGTACCTTTTTACTAATAATCTATCCATCAAATCATACTTTTACCCATCACATCAAAGGACATTTTTGGAAATTTAATACCAAAATAAACTTCCTTAAATCTCTCTCCAAAACCAAAACTCCCATGTTTTTTTGGGACGGAGGGAGTATATATCAATACTTTGCCAGCATGCATGTATTCTACTGTATGTTTCTTGATCGAGTAATACTCCCTCTGTCCACCATAGATCTTCCCAGACACTATTCACAGGGTCAAACTTTACTCACTTTATTTACTCAATTTTACTAGTTATTTCATAAAATAATATAGTTTTGTCACCTCTAGTTTTGTAGAACTTTTCATGTAGTTTATTACTATATAAATTTTATTTTAAAATTTTACTCCTATAATCAGTTAAATTGAATTGAAAATAAAGTCGGTCAAGCCTCGTAACGCGTAATGGGAAGATCATACTTGGACAGAGGGAGTATATAATTATTTCATTATTCAATAAATATATACCGTATATATCAGCAGCTGCTTCCATTGCTTTTTGCTTTGTTTTGTCATCCGTCATTGTAAGCACCTTCAACACCACCTTTTGCTGGTCATCAGAATACAATAATAATATATATTATCAATAAACTCTAACTAGCTAGCTAATCTTTTAGTGTTCTAAAACTTAATGACTTGGTGATGAGATTCAAACATATATATATATGACCATCCAGTTTGATCAACAAGAAAATGGAAGAAAATAATGGAGATAGAACAGTACCTGAGACATTGTTTGGATTGAAGTTGAAGATCGAGGAATAGGCAATGAGACTGTTTGGCTTCTTTGAACAACTTTTAATTTAACAGAAGAGTTGAAGAAAAATTAAATGGTTGAATTTTTGGTGATAGGTAGTGAAGTTTTATGTGGTCAATTCCTTTGTGCGTGGGAATATGGTACGGCCGAAAAGTTGGACAACTCTCATGCAAATTCATTTTGATTGTTTTTTCCAGGGAACAAAGATATACTTTTATTTTAGCAAATTAATTCTTCAAAAATTTTGGGTATTGATATCGACGTTTAAAAATAGTACAGTACAAAATAAATGGGAAGAACTAAATGAGATTACCCTTTGGAGACGTGACCCGTCTATGATTTCAATCTTTCCCAATTTTTATGGTCCATAGTCTTTTTTGATATGTTTGGTTTGAAGAATTATAAAAAGATGGACAACAAAATATTTCATCCGTCCTTATTTTGATTACAAAATGGGAATAACGATGTAAAATTTTATGATTTTTAAAATTATTTTATTTACAAAATGGTACATGAAATAAAAATTACATATTAAAAAACTACGTCTAAAATTCTACAAAATAAGAGGCGACAAGAATATTTGATTTTATCAAATGATCAATGAAAACACATAAATAAACAAAAATTATCGAGAGAAAATAAAATTGTAATCAAAATGAGTTATGATTTATGTTTTAGTCCTATTCAGTGCAAATTTCACTTATTTAATTTAATGGCCTTCAAATTCTTCTAAATTGAGCAAATAAGGTGCACCTCATTCGTCAAAGCCACCATTGCCCCTTCATCTGACGTCTCAACCATAATAGAGAGTTATATGGCACAAGGATTTAATGGCCTTTTTTTCTTTCTATTTTTTGAAATTTATTTGTTTTTAAGATAAATCCCACAAAAAGGATTCTGGCTTTTTGCTGTGGGCTTGGAGTAGAAGTGCAGAGGAGTATGTATGGAAGGCATCATCATCATCATACAGAAAGGCTCTCATTTCCATACATTGAAAACAACCCCAATCTTGTAATTTCAGCTCTTGCCTTCGTCTTCCTCCTCCGATTCTTTAAGCTCATCGGTTTGAGCTTAGTATGGTTTAATAAGATATGAATACTTGTGATTTTATCGTAAGAAACAAACTCAACTAAAAGATCAAGTTTTTTTTACATTAGCTAAATACCGTACCATGCTCACAGTTACTTTGCTCTAGCTAGTCAAATGAGCGGGTTAACAAATGGGACATAACACAAAAGTATTACAGCTAGGGGAGAATTTGATCGACGACACCAAACGAAAGTGATGCACGAATAAAGAGAAATGCATTAGTATGAGTTCATAGTGCATTACATCACACTTTCACTGTATAATTTTGAACTCAGAAAATTAAACACAAAGCAATGGAATGGGAAATGCAACAGCGTGATCGACAAACTATATAAGGAGGGAAAAAACGTAACAAGAAGGCAATCGATTACTTAACAAGCTAAGGGGCATGTATGAATTGATGGAGATCGTGACGACGACGATGGTGATGGGGGGCTTATTAGAATGCTCGAGCTTTGATGGTGTCGAGGCTCATTTCGCTAGGATCGGTGGCTTGGAGCTCAACCTGAATCCCATCGAGTTCTCTCTTGAACCGGTCCTTTGAGCTTGCATACACCATCTTCATCCTCACACTTGATGATTCCGGTGACCTTATTCATTAATACATGTGCAAGAAATTAGTAACTTGAATCATCATCCATTTTCATTCATATCCAATCCACACCAATGGTGGCCAAGCTAGTGCTTGCACAGAAAGTCTAATGGGAGAGGGCAAAATTAATGCAAAACTGTTCTTAATATGCATATATATAGGGAGTACTTTACAAATGAAAAGTATTAGGAATATTAGAGATAATAGGAACCAAGCATTATTTTTAGGCTCAATTCCACCGTTGGTCTTTCAAATTATTGCGTCATGCACCGTTAGTCGTTCAACTTTGAAAATCATGAAAAACCCGTCAAGTCATGTTAACTGCTCATGGTGAATTGGTCATTCAAAATTCCGCGAATAGTTCTTCAAGTCACGTTAGTGTTGCATGATTGGTCCTTTCATTAATTTATTCGTGGGGCCATGCACTTTTTTATACTCTTTCAGTTTTAAATACACGCGAGAAACTTTTTCTTCTTTAATTACTCCAATTTTTTTTACATAATATAAGTTACTTCTTTTATTAGTTTTATTGTATTTAAAAAATATCACCCCGCCTTAAAGTTTTTATCAAATTTTGACTTTATATAGTCAAGTAGGTTTAATTTTTTTATACCAATATTTCAATTAAAATAGATCTACAAAAAGTATGACTCAAAGAAATATTTGCACTAAATAGCACTAAAACTTAAGTCATTTCCCTAAATAGCACTTAAATTGTTTTATTCTCTAAATAGCACTTATAATGTCCAGTGATGGCGAAATTTTGCTTGAATAATGACTAATGCATAATGACTAAAAGTGCTACATTGGAAAGAAAAACATATGTAGTGCTATTTAGAGAAAGTCATTATGTTTTAGTGCTATTTAGGTAAATTCCTCATGACTCAAATGTATGAAAGAAGAAGGTTCATCACGTGTATTTATAATGAAAAATGAAAAACAATGCATGGAGTAACAACAAAATTAACGGAAGGTTCAACCATGCAACACTAACGTGACTTTAAGTACTATGCGTTCAAAATTAACGGAAGTATAACAACAAAATTAACGGAATAATTTTTTAAGTTGGAGGACTAACCATGCAATTACTAACATGACTTGAAAGACTATTCGTTCGTAGAATTTTCAAAATTCAAGAACTGACCGTGCATAATAACAACTTGAAGGAATTCAGCTTAAATATTATTATTTACTTTTTCTTATTCTATTGCTTCTATAATTATTATTCTGTTAATTACAATTAGGATTCTCTCTTAAAATGGGTTGGATGAGGTATAGCGTATATATACGTACCAGGCGATGAAGAAAATCTTGCTTTTCTGGACATTCTCGTCGGTGGTGAAGTCGAAATCAAAGACGGCGTAGCGGCACTCGTCGGAAGGGAGAGAGTTAGTGAAATCGTCGTAGGACTCATCGGGCCTCCCCACCTTCTCCACCACCACCTGTTGAGCCTCGATCTTGAACAGTATGTACCGGTAGTTTCTCTTCGACTTCAGTTCCAGAAAGTTGAGCTTGCACGCGTCGTCCACCTGCATTCCCGACACAGCATTCGCCTGCATCCATCCATATCATCCAATCCAAATCCAATCCATCAACACATTCATCCAATTATATTCAATTCCTTCATCCAATACATCAATCGACGATCGCAAATCGGATTCGTCCAATTCAATTCATTCACCGATCAACAATCATTAACATTCAAATGATGAAATTATCGGAACGGATCTGATCGGAAAGTTAAACGAAATGAAACGGCGAATGGATCTGGAAATACATACCATGATGGTGTGATCGCAATGGAAGACGGATTTGAGGAATTGATCGCCGGCTGCTGGAAATGGGGGGGGGGGGAGACAGGAAAAAGAGAGAATTAGGAGAAATACAGAGTTAAATATAATGAAGGGGGAGAAATGGGGAATAAGAAAGTGGGGAATGTGGATGTGAATGAGGCAGCCATTGAATCTGTTAGGGGAAATGGAGAGATCTGCGGCAGGACATCCATGCATTAAACCAACGAACAAGGCTGAGTTAGTTGATATTTTATTTTATTTCTCCTTTATTTTATTTGGTTTTTGGAATGATCGATTAAAATTCCAAGTTACTACCGGAGAGAGAACACGGGAGTAATGAAAAAGTGAAAATTGAAAACTAAAACATAATCACTTTTTTAATTTAGGATTTAAACTTTTTTATTTTCTAGATAGGACTTAATAATGACCTTATGGGAGGAATAATGTCCAGTAATGATGGACATTTACTTGAATAATGACTACTTGATAATGACCAAATATCCTACATTGATAAATAAAAACTAATGGTGTAAATATGGCTGGGTGAGTTAACCGGGTTTGACCTGGATACACTCGACCTGTAATATAAAACACACATCAAGAACACACAGTATGACCTAGACCGGGTAAATCTACTCAGTCCGAAATATATTTCTTACTCTATCTCAAGAGTGAACTTTAGTGAGAGTAAAATTGGATCCCCTCCTCTATCCAATATCATCATATTTATAGAGGATGATTTGTGACCTTCCCCTGTTCATCCATGGACAAAATAGGAAGCCCGTGGGAAGGTCACTGTACATAATCAATCTACTATTCAATCAATGAATTTAGCAACTACAAGCCAAGACATGTATTGTTCAATCAAATACTATAAATGGATATTCTCAATCCAATCAGTCCTGCAAAATGACAAACATCCCTTTCACTGTGTGCCTCGTGACGGATGAGCGGCGGGGTGTCCCCTTGACCTCTGACGTGGTTCATCGTGCCTAAGAGACTGGACCAATGTAAGCAAAGTAACGTGTTATGACCGGTCACCTTTTCTCAAAGGTTACCCGGTCATTTCTTGAGCTCAGCCCGTCTCTTTTCCGGAATATCCTTCGTTACATTAGACGACATTTTGGCTATCACCCAAAATGTGACCGGTCACTTTTTTAGTGGAAGTGACCGGTCAACTTTTGACCCGTCCCAATCGAAGAGTTAACATCATTTAGTGACTTGATAAAAGTGACCGGTCATATTTTGACCTGTCCCTTTCGGTTATCCGGGTCGGATATAAGGATATACCCATCAAAAACATATGGTCTTATATTCGGAAAGTCATTATGTTTTAGTCCTATTTAGATAAATTTTTCAATGAAAAAAAACACCTCATCTTAATAGGGTTGGACAGAGACCGGTTTCGGTACCGCCAGCCTCCGGTCATGGTTCTGGTCATGGAATCAATCGATCCCTTTTTGGTTTCGGTTCTCCCCAATTCCAACGTTCCGTTGGTTCAAAATACGGAAAATGAAAATCGGACCGGTACAAGGCGGTTCCAAGACCGCACGCAGAGGTTCCGGTACTGGATCATCTAATACTCTCTCACTCGCAAATTAAATTACATGCTTACTATATTTGTTGGTTATTTGATAAAAAATATAGTCATGTCACTACTAGTTTTGTAGATTTTTTATATGGTTTTTTCATATGTAATTTTTAATCCTACACCGTTTTCATATAAAATGATTTGAAAATAACTTCAGTCAAACATCGTAAATCGGAACAAATGATTTAAATTAGGACGGAGGGAGTATCAGTTTTATTTAATTGTGACAATGGTCAAAGTTCATCAATTTTGATTTCAGAAAGTCAAAGCTAAACAATAGATTATGGACAAAGGTAATATATTTTAGTTCTAATTTGATTTTTCTCAAAGAAACCTTAGTTTTTTTTAATAGCTATGTTATAGTGCATCCCACACCGGAAATTCAAGAGTAAAATTTTCGGTATATAAGCTCTTGAGTTAAACTAACTAATCGATTGATTCAATCTTTTAATGTGGTTCAAGCCAAATGTCTTATTACTCAATTCAATTGTCCATACGGACCATACCACATCCTAAATTTTATCATGGTATCAGAGCAGGTTTTGACCCACCTCGTTTGTCAAGGTGTCCGTCTAGACGTTCATTCCTAAAGGCCCGTTAGTCTTCAGGCCATTTATCCGTATGGAGTATGGAACCAACGAACAGCATGTGGCCCGTTTAACACGATTGATCGCCTGGAAGTGCATACCCGACGACTCGTGGTCCTTTAAGTGTTGGCTTGAATCACTTTCTTGCCACTACACCAAAGATGTCTTCACAAAGAAGGCGTAGTTAGGTTATTATTTATAACACTAAAAGATGATACTAATTCCAAGGTAAAATATTACCGAGTATTTTCTCTCTTACATACGGAGTATAAGAGCATCTCCAACCACAATTGCTAAACATGGCTTGCTAAAGTCATTTTTTAGCATGTGAATAGTAGTATAGCAAGCCATTTTGCATTGTCATCTCCAACCTTTCCTTGCTATAATTTAGCTAACAATTATATTATATTGTTTTTACTATTATAATACACCTTTATAATAATTATTCAATTATTATTTTATATTATAAAAATTTAGTAATAAGTATGTAATTTAAAAATAATAATTTCAAAAAACAATACGGAGTATTATTTTACGTACTTTAGGGAAAATAATAAAATATACGGAGTATTATTTTAAATATTTAATAAATACCAATTAAAGAGTAGAGAAAAAAATTTACAAAAACAAAAAATTAGAGAGTAGAAGTAACTTTATATTTTGAGAAGGAGAATGAGAGAAAAGAAGAGAGAAATCATATATTTAATCAATTTCATGATTTGCTATTTTTTGAGAGGCTTGTTATATATAACAAGCCAAAGTTAATATTTACCAAGTATGTTATACTATAGCAAGCCCCTTGGAGCACAAAAATTGAAATGGATTGCCAAATAATAACATTTAACAAGCCAAAACTCAATGGTCGGAGATGCTCTAAGAATGTTATTGTTGTAAATTCAGTAAACAACAAAGTTTATTTCCTTAAAATAGTTCTAGAGCACGCAGAAAAAAAGTTTTTCCAAAATTTTCATATGGAATACGGAGTTTTATTTTGAAGGCATTTTCATAGGGAATATTTTCATAGGGCAAGATTCTTTTTATTTTCTTAAACTTCATACCCATTCAAACTCGTCAATACTCAGTAAAAAGACATACTGTTTGGGAATAACGTTAGCGTTTTGGATTTTAATGATGTAGATTACTTTGAAAACACTAAGGGGGTGTTTGTTTTTTTGGTGAGAAGAGCTTCTAATCTTTTATGTTTGCACCGTGCAGACACGGGCAGACATTAGGGACGCATAGACTATTTGTTTTTTAGAAGACAAACCACTTAAAAACGTCTTCCAAACATCTTTCTTAAGCAGACATAAACTAACAGCTTCTCACGTCTTCTCATCAATTACGATCCATCTCAAAACCTACTCATCCGCCTCCCTTTCCGATCTCTACGTCCTGCCCTGTGCGCGACCCTCTACCGCCGGAGTCTCCACCACTGCCGGCGACTCCTCTCTCCATCCGCCGGCTTCTCATCATCTTCCCCAGCCGTCCGCCGTCCGTCTCCCTTCTCCCTAGCCGTCCGTCTCCCTCTGGCGGCTTCTCCTCATCCCCGCTGGTGACGCCACCTCCTTCTCCTCATCCTCGCCGGCTTCTTCTCATCCCTTCTGTCCATCTCCTCCGATTCTCATCCCTATAGTAACAAGTATGTTTTTTTTCCACTTTTTTTGTTTTTTTAATCTCTTTTTTTAACAATTTTTTACATTTTTTGTTGTTAACAATTTGTGCAATAGTCAATGTTTTTTTTTACTTTTTAACATTCTCATCCCTGCCGACAATAATTTTTACAATTTTTTTACAATATTTTTTTACATTTTTTAATCTCTTTTTTATATAATAGTCAACAATTTGTTGTTAATTGTTGCTAAAGATTGTTGTAGTAGTTCAATTAACGAGCACTTAATGCAATGTGTGGAATAAATTATTCCCTCCGTCCCAAATTATTTGTCACATTTGTATTCCCGAGGCAAAATTTCAAGTTTTTTCAATTCATTTTATTTACATATTGGTAAAGAAATAAAAAATAAAATTTACATATAAAAAAACTACATGAAAAATTCTTCGAAATAAGAGGTGTCAAGAATATTTTATTTTATCAAATAATCAATGAAAACGTCGAAACAAACAAAAGTTCTCGACACTGCTGAAAAAGCAAGTGTTGTGATTAAATAGGGACGGAGGGAGTATTTGAAAAGTGCAGAATAAATTATTTGAAAATAGCTAAGCACTTAATGCAAAGTGCGAAATAATTATTTGAAAAATTATTATTTTTGTTATTTTAAAAAATGTTATTGTTGTTATTTCAGTGTTGTAGAACTCTTGATTAAATTTAAATGTTTAAAAAATATTGTTTGCTTTAAAAATCTATTTATTTTTAATTTCAGTTTCTTTAAGAAATCTGCAAAAGTTAAAAAACAAACAGTCTTCCTCTTGCATACTGCAAACCTTTGGTCCACCTCTCCTTTTGAAGATGTGTGCAGATGTGGTCTACAGATTACAGACTTTTTTCTACATAAAAAACAAACAACACCTAATACTAAACACTGCATGTAAATAGTCTTTCAAAACGGTAACGCTATTTCCAAACCGGCCAAAAAGGAACAAATCAAACGACCAGCCGCGATGGTTTCCATTCCATTTATAAAAAAAATCGTTATCCCCAACCAAACATGACCTAAATGATCCCGAATCAAGAATTGCAGTTGTGCTCATTATCAGGACAATTCAACTCGCCCCCAATATTTCAAAATTCGCAACGTAAGGTTCATATTTCTTTCGTTTCCCAGAGATTTATATCATTTCAGCCTACAAAGTTGACAACTTTGGGTCCCTGTCGTTTCTTCTTCACTTTAGCACTGTCCTCTTCCTTTGATTGCTCCTCTATCATGAAGTCGTCTTCCAGATCATCGCCGCCTGTGATTTTGGTGACTTGCCCTGTTGGTAGGTCTTCAATTTTAACTGTGCAAAGACCAAAAGGACAACTCAACACGATAAGAACGGCATACCCCTACTTGGAAGTAGAGAGACACATAATTATTAGATTCCGAAATTATCGGATAAAACTATTTGATCCTTGGAAGTGGGAAGGACATGTGTATAGACCATATATACCCCTACGAAAAACTATCCTAATAGTTTGTTTGTTTATTTATATGGGACAATCTAATACGGGAACACATAGTTGCAAAATAAAACAACAAATGAACCAATATGATATGGTCCCACACTCCCAACCCCTACTCCTTGGAGTAGAGGTATGGTCTATGTATGTCTTGCCTCCTACAGACACTACTCTATAGTGGGATTTACAGGTTTGTTTGATTTGGTTCGGTTCGGTAATGTCATACGGTCCCAAGTATACACAAATTAAGGAAAATATTATAGATGACCGTTAGGGACGCCTTCTTGAAATCGTGCCATAGTGGAAGAAACGTCCTAGCTGCTAAAAAATACGGAGTATATAAGTGTATATGGATGAACTGCTCAAATAGCTTACATCTTTTATTGGATCCATGAGTTGCATTTGTGCTAATTTTGTTGGGACAATGTTTGGCCAAATGTGTAATGCCACCACAAATGTTGCAGCTACCACCCTGAACCGAAAAAGAAGTTTGTGAGCGTAAGCATGATGAACTGAATCAAAGAGGCCAACTTTACCGAGAACTCTCAAGGTTGAACATGCATACGAACCTTCAAATAGATCCCGTGGGTATTTTTAGGGCAGTTCTTACTTAAGTGCCCGCGTTCTTTGCATATAAAGCAACTGGCAAACTTTGTCCCCCCTGCATAATATCAACACTTCTAGGGTCAGGTTACCATATCACTCTATATTTGTTTAAGCCATACCCCCCCCCCCCCTCTCTAAATATAGGTTCAGCTGTTCATTTAAGTTCTGTTTGGAATCTGGAAAATGCTTGGGAAAGGAAATATTGGGGAATTGGAAAGGAAATAGAATTTGAGTACTGATTTCAGAAGCTGGTTTACCTTCCTGCAAAGGTATGGGGCATTTCTCCAAAGAATGCCCAGTTTCTCCACAATTGTAACACAATTTCTTGTCCATAGTGTCATCCGTTTTGTTTGGGCAGTTCTTGAGACTGTGACCACGTTTCCTACACAACAAGCATATCTGCAAACATGAATCAGTTCAGAACAAAAAGCCCATCAAGTAAAGCAAACCAGACAGTGCAATAACAGAGATGAATCTTAACCTTGTTCTTCTCCCATGAAGCTTTTTCTGGGCAATTTTTAGCGATGTGGTCTATGGCTTTACAAATGAAGCAGCTTTCACCGGGTTTCATTCCGGGGACTCTAAGGGGATGTCGTTTACGCCTCTTCAGGTTCGAGGCGTCTTCGGAATCGGGTCTTTTGCGCTTTAAATTGTTCCGTTTCTTCTTATTCTTCTTCTTCTTCTTATCCAGGTCTTCGGGTGCAGCCGGTTCTGGATCGGGGAAAAGCTCCGGGTGAGCTTCCTTGAACCGCTTTCTAGCTTTTCTCTGCCGTTCGTTCGCCATTGCCTTTCTTCTTCTTGGAGCTCTTCTCAACCGTGAAAGGTGAATTGAGAAACCCCGGGCAGCATCTAGGGTTTTTTGTCTTCTGAGAATTGGGGTGAATGACGATGGACTTCTTAAACTCGGGTTAACGTATGACCCGACCCGATCCCGAGTATGGACAGCCCTTTTCACTGTATAAAGACTGAACCAGAGTTAGGTCAGTCTTAACCGGACAACCAAATTTAAAGACGCGTCATTTTTTTTAAGAAGACTAAGCTTTCCAAAACAACTACGACAAAGATTGGACAATGACGTCCTGAAAGACTATTACAGTTTGACATTTTTGTCAAACTATAACACCTTTTAATAATGAATCGAATATAGTTTAAAATACTCCGTAATTAAATATTATAAAAATTTAATATTTCAAAGTTATATCTTAAAAATAACTCAATTTTACTAAATTTATATTATAATTAAATATACTTATTTAGAGAAAATGAGAAAAAAAGGAATTTCATATTTCTTTTGTTTTGCTTCATATTAAAATGAAAAATCTATTTGAAAGCTTCTCAAATAGAAAAATGAGAATTTAGATGGGATTAATCATTCTCCTTTGACACATTTAGAAACATCAATTCATTTGACCAATGTGTCAAATTTTAACAACTCAACAATGAGTGGTCATGAATAAAGAGAAATCATATTTTTTAAAATAAACTAACACTATAATTGGTTCAAGCAATTTGTAAGGAAAATAAAAAGAAATAGTTATTTCTAAATTTTTACTAAAATGGAAGGAATTTTGTTTTCTCTCATCTTAGTATATTTTGTCTTCTCACTTACTTTTTATTTTCACTTTTGTTATCTTTTCCGCTCTAACCAAACAAAATAAAATGTTTTCCTCTTTTTTTCCTTTCTCTACCAAAACCCATGAACCACACATAATGTAAGTTTCCATCCCCATTATGTCACGCTCATGAATGTCATATTCAATTTGTACCTCTTTTAGCTTATTCGCGTATAATACGCGTATTATACACCCGTACGTATGATACACGTATTATACTCCCGAATACGAATTTTTAATGGGACGAACGTATAATACACGTATTTTTGACCCCAAACGTATTTACGAATTTTATACGTATTATATTGCAAAATCATTGGGGTCAAATTCAGATGAGATCAATTAAATTGGTTGTCTTTCTGCAAAAATACAAATCTTTAAAATTTGGCGACTCAATTACTATAAAAGTATTAAAAGTCGAATTGTAGTTCAAGTCATCCTCCAATACCTTTTGTTAATAAAATGTCACCTACACCCTACCAGTTTCTTCGACTTCGTCCGGCTGAAAATCCAACGTTGCATCTGCACTAGCGAATAGTAGACCAACATTTTTCTCTATTTGTTTAGATTTTGAAAATGTGGTCAATTTTTTATATTTAGTCCTTAAGATTAAATATTTGTCCACGTTTAAAAATACAAATTTGATTATATATATATGATCTAAATTCAAAAAAANAAAAAAATCTAAGTTCGTAACTATATATTTGTATTCTAAAAATAAAAAATATAGACTAAATTTAATTTTACTCAACTTTTAAATTGTGTAAAGCATTATTTAGTAAGTTCAAATTTAAATTATAAAGAGACTTAAATCTTCCTTTTAAATTCATGATAAACATTTAATCAATTTTGTAAAACATAAATTGTCTAATAATATAAATTTTTCATGTCTTAAATAATGTTGGCTTCATTTTTCAGAATGTGTTCTTACTTTGAATACATTTTGTGAAAGTACACAATAATAATTAGATTGAAAGATCTTCTTTGGGTACACATGAAAAAAATGAATAAACAATAAATCGTAGTCTTGGTTAAATTTTCAGAACTTTATGATGTATTTAATTCAATTTCAAAGTTTAAAATGTGTTTCTTATTAAAAATATATGCATTCATTATAAGCCGTATTTTTGAAATATCAGACGTATAATACACGAACGTATCCGTATACGTACTCCGAACGTATAAAATGTATAATAAGACGTATTTTAAAAAAGTGGTCCGTATTATACACGAACGTACGAATAGACGTATTATACCCGTATCCGAATAAGCTAACAGAGATTTGTACTCATAACCATTAAAAATACGAAATGTGCAAATATTTGATATTTCTACTTGATAAAGATTTAAGAAATTATTAAAATAAATAAATAAGAAAAGTGAATTTGCACTAAATTGTACTAAAACATTTGTCATTTTCCAATGTAGTACTTAAACTTTTTTATCTCATAAATAGTATTTGAATAATGTCTAATGGCGGGAACATATCCAGTGAAGTTGAATATTTAGTTTGAACAATGTCCAGTGCCGGTAGACATTTACTTGAACAATGACCAGTGGAAAACGACCAGAGGTACTACATTGAGAAACAAAAACATATGGTACCACTATATGAAAATCACTATGTTTTAGTACTATTTAGATAAAATACTCTTTTCTTATTAATTGTACACTTTCACTTTTCTTACTGGTAATAATCATGCTCAGCTCGTTCTAATATATTTGCTTATCTTGTGATCGTGGATGTATGCCTGTTTATGTTTTTCTGAAGTATTTTTATTTCACCACTATATTGCTATTACTGGTAATTAAATGTTTTGTTAATTGAAACTATAGTTGATCAAACCTAAAATAACCCTTTAAAAATGAGTCAAATTTGAACTTGAACCCAACATGACTTAATTTTTTAACATATCTTTTTGAAGGAGTTTTAAATGATACTCTGAATACATTATTCACTCAGGTTCATGTGACATTGTCTGACAATATCATAATATAACCCGGAGGCCCTACGCTGTTCCGTTCGTAAAAGAATTGTACATATTTAACCTTTTGTACTCCGTATTATATAAAATATTGTTGTACATATCTAGAGATTAGTTTAAATTAAAATAAAATATCAGTAAATGAAATGCAATCATTAATTCAACCCCGAACTAATCGATAATATAGGATAGAATAAACCTAAGGATACACCGAAAATGGGGTATTCCATTTGTACACCAGACAAACACAGATACTTAATTTCTGTGATCACACAAATTAAGTGTCTGTGTTTAACTGGTGTATAAATGGGATACTCCATTTTGGCGTACCCCTAGCATAATAACTCAAATACATTGGAATCGAATCCGAATTTGACCAATTTAAGAGGTCAAAGGAGAGAAGATACATAAGAAAGAAGTTCGTCAAAAGTCTAATTAAGGAAAGTAAAGGAAGAGTTTGAATGAAGAAAATGGAGGAGTGGAATGTTATAATCGTAACTTATAACATGGGGGGAGGGGAATAAATTGGACACTCACATGCGGGGGAGGTAATTTGATTTTACTCTTGAATTAATTGACATCCTGTTATAAAGTCATAAATTTATACTCGTAAATATTTTAATGTTATTTCTAGTCAATCTCTTTATAAAGTGTATGTTTTTAATCTTTTACGTATAAGAGTACCGGCAAGGTTCCGTTGACATTGGTGACAGTGTCAACGGATGACACTCGCCTTTTTTTGCATCTCCGGTACTCCAATGAAAAAATGATTGTTCCTACCTCCCCTAAACCTCCCACTGCACCCTATCTCAGTCCCACCCCCGTACCCCCACCCTAGACCCTTCTTAATGCATAATAGTTACACATTTGAAGGGGGTAAAATGAGAGTCTAGGGAGGGGTACAGGGATGGGACTGGGGTGGGGGTGCGGATCGGAGGAGCTTAGGGGGTGGATTAAGGGAGGTAGAAACCATAATTCATTGTCATCAACGCACTTGTAAAAGTATACATACGAACCAATCATGCACTTTTTTTTGAACGTATATTGACTAATAATGCACTTTTAAAAGCATACATACGAACCAATCGCGCACTATGAATAATATGTGTATTTGTTTATATCAAAGAATTGAATATTCTTACATGATATTCATATTATGGACTCCACGTTTTCCAAAAAATTATCGGAACCCTCAAATATTAAAGGGTAGAGGACGATAATTTAGGAAACGAATGAAGTATATACTCCCTCCGTCCCAAAAAAATGTTCCTGATTCATTTTTTGTGCATCATATAAAACACTTCTATCCCGCTTTAAATGTCAAAAAAAAACTTTCAAAACAACTTCTACCCACAATAAAGGAGAAATGCTGTAAATTTTAGGAATTTTAGATGTGGGTAGAAGTGTTTTATAGGATGCGTAAAAAATGAAATATGAAGATCTTTTTGGGACGGAGGGAGTATATAATTAGAGTATGAGAAGTGGGATCATATTGGAGATTTCATTGATCAAGCAAGAGAAGAGGTAAGAGGAAGGGAAGCTAAACATAGGATGGAAAGTGTTAATACTAGACAACTCATACAAGGTTTTAGTGTGGCAATTTTCCTCTTCCTGCTGTGGAAAATATTGTACAATTGCTATCTTCTTCCTTCATTGGCCTATGCAAAACTTACAAAGCATGGGTTTGGAGGTCCAGTGCCTTGTTTTCCTTTTGGGAACCTCAAAGACATGAAAATGGAGAAGAGGAATAGTACAAGAGAGATTATTACTATTCATTCTTCTTCTTCTTCATATTCATCCGGGGTAGGCATCATCACCCATGACATCCACTCATTGGTCTCCCCTTATTTCGCTCGCTGGCAAAAATTATACGGTATGTGTGTGTAGGTGATCCCGCTCTTAAGCATTGTATTACGTTGATTTTAGACTTGCATGATTCACGATAAACTGGTCATGTGGTGATCTGTTAGTAATTTATAATCTTTTGGTATGTTTTGAGTGAAATAATCTGAATGATAGATAATGTGTGTGCGCGTCTTGTTAAATCATTAAGTTGCTAAGTAATACTCTCCCCGTCTCACAAAATCTGTCTCCTTTATTTTTTCATTCGTCCCAAAAAACATTTCTCATTTCTATTAAAAAGTCACTTTCACCCTTACTTATTCTTAACCTATCTATCACATCATATTTTTCATTATTAATCTTTCCATCACATCTACTTTTACCTATCACATCCAAGGACATTTTTGGAAAATTAATACCAAAATACACTTCCTTTAAATTCTTTAGAAGTCAAAAGTAAAAAGGTTTTTTGAGGGAGTAGTAATTTATTATTGATCATGCGGTTGGTTGATAAAGAGTGTCAAAGGGATAGGTTCTCAATTTGATTTATCACTACTTATGAAGTAACCATGTTCAACACGAGTTTTCAGTAAGTTTGAACCCAAAGTCAACGAAAATTTGGATGATGTAATTAGAGAGGGTGTAGGGGTGAAATTAGGAGCAGGTCGGGCTTGGGGTTTATCGGGGATTAAGGATAGAAACAATCAATGTTATGATCAGAGTACCGTAGGTGCTCCGATTGAATTAGTGTAATAAACTTACACCAATAAATTCGTGTACAATTATCTTTCCTCATTAGAATAGAGAGGTGTAATCTTACACCAATTCAATTAAAAGCAAAAATCACAAAAATGAAACTCTTTTAAGCTTTTAGATTTGTAGTTTTATCTTATGTGTGTGTGTGTGTGTAAATTTCTCGTAACAATCAAGTCCAAAAGTTTCTCTTCTTGGCTTGTCAGATTTTGACTTTCCAGGCCGAGGAGCCAAGTGAAAGAGTCACTTGCCAAACAATGACTTTGGTTGCTTGATTATTCAAAACAGCCAAAAGTCAATCAAATAAACCAGAATCTTTTCCAACCATGGCCACAATGAACTATTTGATTGTAAGTTTGTTGCAGGGAAAGTATTCATCTACTGGTTGGGTACAGAGCCATTTCTTTACATAGCAAATCCAGAACTTTTGAAGCAAATTTCAGCTGCAGTTATGGGTAAAAGCTGGGGCAAGCCTACAGTTTTCAAGGAGGATAGGGAACCCATGTTTGGGAAAGGACTTAATATGGTGGAGGGCGATGACTGGGTTCGCCACCGACACATCATCACCCCCGCTTTCACCCCATCAGCTCTCAAGGTAATCATTAAACTGACAATCTATTTACGTTGTGATAGAATTTAGAATGTGGAAAGGGTTACTGGATTAGACCATAAGTCGAACCACATTAAAAGATTGAATCTAATCAATTATTCAATTTAACTCAAGAGAGTGGTGTGTGCTTTAATCTAGGGCATGACAAGTTTGATGGTGGAGTCAGCAAAGAAGACAGTGGATAGATGGACAACCATGACCGAGTGTGGGGGTGTGGAAATCGACGTCCAAGGTGAAATTACAAGCATGACTGCGGAGATCATCGGAAAGGCGAGTTTTGGAATAACGTACGAGGAAGGGAAGCACGTGTTTGAGAAGCTAAGAGCCATTCATGCGACCCTCTTCAAGTCCACGCGTTACGTGGGCGTCCCTTTTGGGAATTTGCTTTCCCCTAGAAAGACAATGGAAGCCAAGAAACTGGGAAAGGAGATCGACGACCTCCTCATAGCCATCATCGAAGACCGACGAAAGAGATCCCCGAGTGGAAGAGACTTGTTAAGTTTGCTTTTGACAGAGAATGAAGGGATGATGGGAAAGACAGCGTTGACGAGCAAAGAGTTGGTGGACGAGTGCAAGACATTCTTCTTTGGAGGACACGAGACGATAACATTGGCACTGACATGGACATTGCTAGTTTTGGCCTTGCACCCGGAGTGGCAAAGGGAGCTCAAGGAGGAGATCAAAGAAGTGATTGGAGATGACCATCTTTGTGAAGTTGATGCCACTAAGCTTGCCGAGCTAAAGAAGGTAAACTTCTCACTTTTTCTTGTGCGTCGTTCAAAAATGAAATTTTATTTCATTTTAAGAAAAACACTCACTCCAGTGTTTAAGTGCAGATGGAGTTGGTGATGAGTGAAGTGCTCCGACTATACCCTCCATCACCAAATGCGCAACGACAAGCACGAGCCGATATCCGAGTGGACAGCATCGTGGTCCCCAGGGGAACTAACATGTGGGTCGACATTGTGTCGATGCACCACGACAAAGAGTTATGGGGAGAAGATGCCAACGAGTTTAAACCAGAGCGGTTCCAAGATGACATGAATGGTGGATGCAAGGGCAAAGCCGGGTTCTTGCCTTTCGGGTTTGGAGGGAGAATGTGCATTGGCCGAAACTTGGCAACTATGGAGTACAAGATTGTGCTTACCTTAATTCTCACCAGGTTTTCCTTTTCGGTTTCGCCAAACTACAAGCATTCTCCTTCTATAATGTTCTCCCTAAGGCCAGCGCATGGGTTGCCTCTTCTAGTCAGCACACTGCAAAACTAATGTGTTTTTTTGTAAGCAGTGGTATGTCAAATAAGAAAAATAAAGCAAAGCACTGAAGGATTGGAGAAAATATAACTGTTGGGAATGTTCTCATTGTTTAATATAATGTACTGTACTGATTAATCCTTCTTATATAGGGCACTGAATAAAAAGGTAATGACATTAAGAACTTCTTTTGGACTGTAATGAAGTTGCAGTATATAAACTATAAAGCATCATTATTAACCCGTCATGATATCATAGTTTAAAGAGAAGAACCCTAAAAAAGGGGGAGGCTCGAGGGGAAGCGAACAAGCATCCATTCTTTCTCATAAGCCACCAGATGGCGCCATCCTAGTTGCTTGAGCAATGAGAGCTTTAGATCATAAAACTTCTTCTTAGGGGGGTCACCATCTTCTTGAATCATGTCATTCAAGACCTGGTTTAAACATTCAATCCGTAAAACAACCTTGACAACAAGTATTATATTTACAAGATAAAGCCATTTTATCTGTTTTTGACTGAATTATGTTGTTTTTTACCATTTATGCACTTGAAGTGCTAGTTTGAAACATCACAAATATGATATTTTCTTAAATAAGCAGCAGAAGTGTTTTTTAAAATTAATGTTACAAATCATTTAATTTCATATGCCACGCGCTTATCCTTCAAAAATAAGTTGCCACAAACACACACTTAATTTCGGTTATAATCACTAAAAACCCCCAGACTCGAATATGAATTTGCAGTTCAAACTCTTATATGTAAAAGAACATGCAAGAACGGGATAACAGCCAATTACCTTTAGTGCAGTTCCTAGTCTTCCTAGACGTCTCTCGTGTATAACAGAAAGTGTTCCATATTTGGGCGAGTTCACATCTACCCACTTCTTTAGTTCTTGGAAGTTCTTTTCAAACAAGTCTGGCTCAACAGTAAGCACCACTGCAGGTTGGGCATCTATCTTGTCGGAAAGTTGGCCATTCTAACATGAAAAAGGCAATCGAGAATGAAAATCTAAGGAATAAAAAACAATTTCACTTAAGACAACCATGACTGATTTATAACTTAATGTGCTATATTACAAAACAGACCAACACGGTGCCCCTGAGAAAAATATGTTGTCCAAACAAGCACTAACTGTATCATGTTGATGTTTTAAATCGCTGCCAAAGCCAATCCTTATATACAAATATTACCTTTAATGATTCAATCGCTGCCAAAGCCAATCCTTTCTGATAGAGTGCTTCTGTCAACTGGTCACGAATTGTTTCCATTTTTTTCTTTATTCCCTAATAATATATTGATTTTTGTATAAGTTCAGCACATAATTATTGTGACAAAAGACAGAAGAACTGGTAAAATGATACCGCTTTGAGGGTATTGTAAATTTGACAAAATCTCTCGTGATTTTTGTTGGATTGTTTTTATTAGAACTAAGATGTACTCCGTAATACTCTTATATATGACAAAATGAGGGGAAAAAATAAATGCTCACTTCAGCAGCTTCATCTTCAGCATCGGTTTTGATGGAAAAATGTCTGGCCAACTCATCTCTATCAATGCTTTCAACAACCTCATCTGCTGCAGCAATAATCTGCCACAAAGCATGCTCTGTAAGAGAAGCTTTTAGCTTTAAAACAACTGCTCAGGTTTGAAAATTATTGCAGAGAAGTTACCTCTTCATGATGACGGATCTTGTCTCGAACATTGTTTTGTGAAAGTAAACATTCCAATATTTTAGCAAGCANAATGCTCACTTCAGCAGCTTCATCTTCAGCATCGGTTTTGATGGAAAAATGTCTGGCCAACTCATCTCTATCAATGCTTTCAACAACCTCATCTGCTGCAGCAATAATCTGCCACAAAGCATGCTCTGTAAGAGAAGCTTTTAGCTTTAAAACAACTGCTCAGGTTTGAAAATTATTGCAGAGAAGTTACCTCTTCATGATGACGGATCTTGTCTCGAACATTGTTTTGTGAAAGTAAACATTCCAATATTTTAGCAAGCAATGTGGTATATTTTGGGTATTCTGACTGCCATAACAGAATCAGGAAGCGATTGGTATATGTGTAGACAATGGCGGAACTAGAACACTTTTTGGAGGGTGCTCTTTGACAAATGTATATATCTTCTAAAAGAACTGAATTGACAACTATACAATTCATCTATAATTGACAACTTCTAAATGTACATACAACTATACAAGTCTTCATCTATAATTGACATTTTAAAAAGCTCAAGTGTCGACGAATATTACCAAATAGTCATTCAACCACTCATTTTACATACAATACTGTGGTCTGTGAAGACATATTTTACCCACTTCTGAGGTTTATTGAGTACTGAGGAAGGTTATTTTGAGAATTAACTGGCATTGAAAGAGGACAAAGGGAGTATATTTTTCATATTTTTGTGATATGGCACTACACTTGTAATGTTGAGAAAATTCGAGCAAATGTTTGAATGCATTTTGAGAGAAATATGAAAACTCACAAAGTAAAGGTTCAAAGCTATATATAGTTTTTTTTTTTTGGGGGGGGGGGGGTGGGGGGAGGAGGAGGGAAAAAAATACTAAAGAGGGACTTGTTTTACGACAAATAGGTACAATGTACCATGGATGTGAGTTTAGAACTTGACATATGGAGATAACAAACAGCGCGTCAACTGACCAATATACTCACAACCTTGTTTACCATGTTGAATCGAAAACATTTTTGAATAATGTTTAACTCTCTGAGAATAAAATACAAGTGTTTACCAATTTGACAACATGTTCTAAGATAACAGTCGCACACCACAACAAACTTATTCGTGTAATAACTAAAATGGAGAGAATAGTATGTCAAAATATTTTTTTAGACAATGCCCAATTGATGCACCTTTTGAGAAAAGTGATCTCACAAGGAGGAAACAATTTTCAACAAGTAAAATCTGGAACAAGGAAAACATGCAAATACGACATATCGGCTTCAACTTTTTTATCTACTCCCTCTGTCTTTGAAAGAACCTGACAATTTGACTTCACGGAAATTAAGAAAAGTGTTGAAAAGATGGGAAAAAGTAAAAAGTGTGTGATTGCATTTATTTGAAAGAGAGAGAATGAATGATATCCACATACTTGTTTCTTGAAAAGAAAGTGGAGAAGTGTAAAGTTGATTTTTAGACATCTTGTTGGAATTCAAAATCAAATTAAAAACCACTCTTGAAGAAGTCAAATATGACATGCTAAATAAACTACAACACAACAACATTACCCTAGTGCCTCAGAGGCTCCCGCCCATTGCAGGGTAAGGGGGGGGTCAGATGTACGCAGTCTGACCCCTATGTTTAAAACATAGAGCGGCTGTTTCCGCATAACCTATGATAAGCGTCGAAAGTTGCATTGACTAACTATTACTTCACTATTGAAAAAGAAGCGCAGACAATTTAAACTATTTGCTTTATTTCATCATACCCAAAGGCCAAAGACAAAAAATAGTGAATCTTTGGCTGCATCAGAGATGATGGAAGGACATGCTAAATAAACTTTAAAAAATGCAGAAGTAACAAATGGAGCCATTTATTTAGGTGGTGGAGAATGGCCAAATTTGGCTGCATGGCTGCATCAACTCGAAGTTTCTCATTTGGCAGAGATTTTGGCAGTGAGCTTGACACTTCTTCATTAGGTCGGTTAGTGTAAGCTGTAAACATGGGCACATGCATATGTAGTGATATGCATGTTTTAGAGAAAGAAAGAAATAAGAGAAGAGAGTTGAGCCATAGCTCATAAAAGAAAAAAATGCAGCAGCACTTGTAGTGAGAAAATTATGAGTGGTTGATAGTTTGTTTGTTGTAATACTTTGTTACTAGTGTAATAATAAAAATATTATTTTTTGGTCCACTACGCTTCCTACACATCTCAAAAAGGAACGTGTAAAATTGTTTCAAAGACAGAGGGAGTATTAGGTATTTTTTAAGGATACCAGAGGGGAAGTAGCCCGATTGTAACATCAGTTAGGTATCAGAAAAAGACAATGATGTTTAAAGAATTCCTTCATGTGAAGCTGATAAGGTGAATATATTTCACAAGAAATCTCAAGAGTTCAGCAATTTTTTTATCCCCACCCTCTTAAGTTTGCTAACTGTTTAGTAAGAGCATAAGTCATTTTGCAAAAATTAATCATCCTAGCAGCATAAATCATATGGAACAATAATTACCTTAAGAGTGATGGATAACTTTCTCCATTCTGTGTGTTCCTCATCAGTGCCTTGGTTTAAGCTAACAAGAACATTTATTTTAGCATCACGGACCTGGTTGGCAGCACCAATGGATCAATAAGAAAGTGAAACAAGTCTTGTAATTGGTTTGGGTAGTTCACACAAAAACCAACTTTAGTGGGAGAATTGCAAATCTCCTAAGATGAATATTATGGAATAGGAATGGATCCTGTGAGTTCAGCCGTTTACTACCTCCGCATATAATTTCTCAGATACATTCTTGGCGCAAATTGAGGAACTTTCCTCCAACTTGTCATTAAGCTGTAACATAGATGGATTTAACACACTACGTTAAGGATAAGCAGCTCCAATCGTCTGTAAAGGAACGTAAATGTGTTGCACAGATGACATTAGATTGACCTTGCTTGGAGGCACCCTATAAGATATTTGATATGAGACAGGGTTCTTTTGTGAACTTGCATATGACACTGTCCCGACTAATATAGATCCTTCAGAGCAGTTCTGCAGGTAAGCGAAGCGCATAATAAGACATTTCAACTACAATTGCAGGGAAAGGACAAGAATACAGTGTTTAGGGACAGTCAGAAATGCTGACCTTTGGGAGCTTGTCCTTTGAAGGAGGACCCATATAAAATGCTTCCTTTACCCTTCAAATCCATATTTACAAAAGGGAAATATATTTAAACTTAGAACATGGCGAAAGAATAGAATTTAATATAGGGTAGGGATCACTCAACTCGACAACAAGACGTTTGAGCCAAACCACACTAAAAGATTGAATTAAATAGATTATCAAGTTTGACACATGATCTAGTTAATCTAGCATTGTTTCTTTAATATTCCTATGTTAGATTCTACCACTTTTCTCAAGTGGAGAACCGGACCATTTTCAATCTAACCGATTGACAACTTGCAAACCCTTGAAATGAAAGCTCAAAGCAACATGTTGACTTGTTCATCCCACATCGGCTATGCAGCCTTATATTGTGCTGCTATTTAATAGCTTGGGTACCTCAACCTCTAGAGTTAACTTTTGGGGTTGAATTGGGCCCAAGTCTATTGTTTCAACATGGTATCAGAGCTAAGCCATTGATGTTGGGACCGCGCCCGCAGTAATCTGCGCCTCGTGTGAGGGGGGCGTGTTGACTTGTTCATCCCACATCGGCTATGCAGCCTTATATTGTGTTGCTATTTAATAGCTTGGGTACCTCAACCTCTTGAGTTAACTTTTGGGGTTGAATTGGGCCCAAGTCTATTGTTTCAACACAACAACATCTAAAGGCCCATGGGCCATTGGAATTAGACTTTCTAACGGACAACCAGGAATAAACGAGGTGGGCCATAACCTCCTTGGATACCGGGATAAAATTTAAGATACGGTATGGGTCACTCAACTCAATCATAAGAAGCTTAGGCCAAATTCCGGCACACAAAAATATTGAATCCAATAGATCAACTAATTCAATTCAAGATCTTACTAACCCGACAATCTTTCTTTAATTTCTCAACGTGGAATTGTACTATGTTAAGTACTCTTCACATCTATGAGTTATTGAACCAGTCTAGCTTATAAACATCAGCTAACCTCCACCTCTTGAAAATTCTGTTGTGGTGGAGTTAGGCCCAATTAGCAAGGTACTAATGCCTACCAATTTATTGTTTACAAAGTTTGAGACTTGCCTGTTTTTTTACGGTTTGTGGTCTCGCTTGTTTGTTGTCCAGTCATATTTGGGCTAAGGGGGTGTATTTTGCACCCCACATTGATGGATTATGGGACCATGGTCTAGTTTATGAAGTTTGACAAACTTCACCTCTTGAGTATCCTTTTAGGGTGGAGTTAGGCACGGTTAACAAATATTAGGTAGTTTAATGATTTGTACCCGGGAATCAGAACAGAAGATGAGAAATTACTGCCACTCATAATTGGATCATCAGGTTGAGCATAAAAGTTAAGCGAAATGGAATCCTGCATCTCAAAGCATAAACGGATCAGCCATGTGAAGTCCCCAAAGCACTAAGATGATGATAAAAACTTAGGCTCTGTCGGTGGAGCTTTTGGACCCCCCCCCCCAACTGCTGTATCAACCTGCCTATATAACTATAGCAGTTGGGGTATTTTATTGCCCTTCCCCAAATATCCTCCTATTAAAAAATAACTACTTTTTTCTTTCTCAAATATTCCCCTACTTTTTTAAAATAAATGGGATTATAAGTAATTTTACAATTTTGCATCACACCAGAAATGGCACAAACTAACATCCGAAACCCAAAAATTCTCAATAGGTGTCCTAGCTGCAAGAACTACTAACAGCTCAAACGAACGAACCCTTGGTGTAGTAAACCACATAAATAAGCAAAGTGAAACTACCTTTGTCCCATAAAAACTTTCTACTTTCCCTTTTTTAGATGTCCCAAAAAAACTTTTTACTTTATTTCCTTCTCAAAACATTTCCCTCTCAGCTAAACACATTCCAACCACAAACTCTTTACTTTCCAAAACTTTTCTTAAGCTTTGTGAAAGTCAAACAAGGAAGATTTTTATGGGACAGAGATAGTATAGAATTTCACTCTATAAATTCTAGTATAGAAGACAATAGAGCATGCATTATCATACAATATACTCCCTCCGTCTCACTGTTTTGGTACCATTTTACGTTTTTGTATCATTTTAACGTTTGTCCGTCCCACTATTTTTGTCTCATTCACTATTTAGTCATATTTTTGTGGTTAACGATCATTCTTACTTTATTTTACTTTTTAACATCAATATTAACCACACAAACTACTCCAAATTTCCGTGCCATTCCCCCATGTCCCAAAAATAGTGGGGCGGAGGGAGTAATAGTATATGTATAGTAATAGAATAAATGCATGACATTAGAGAATGATCCACCCCTATGATGTCAAGACATAATAGTATTAGTGCATTACACTACAAAACCATAACCATTAGATAAGAATAACACAGCAAAGTATCTCATATTACAAAATAACATCTATAAATGAAGCACAAATCTACCTTGGCATCCAAGGTTCTTTCTATGAATAAGACCAACTGCTTTATTTTCTCTAAGTACTGCAGATTATCATGCCTGAACATGGGAAAAGTCATGGTGGTTAAGTAGAAATTGTAAGTGCTCACCAATTATATTACATTATTGTGTTTGACACTAAAATCCCACTAATCTAACCCTATTGGGCCACCACACACAAAGGTAAAGATAGCTAAAAAAGCTAAATAAAAAATTTGCTCCAAATTACATTTCACTAAGCCTCTTTTTGAATGTGCGTGTAGTAAACATGTGAAACTACCAAAAGAGCCAGATCAGTTAAACTTTATATTGGGAAACATGTCACAACAGCGGAGTTATATAATAGAACCATGTAATATTGGCAACAAAACTTTTCTGCAATGCTCACCAAACCACATTAAATGTACACTAAACAGCACCCTCACCTCAAATATAGCAGTAAACTGTATTCACCTCTTGGAAGTTTTGATGATTTTGGATAAACATCACCCATTGCATGCACACGCTACAATGCAAACAGAAGGTATTTATCAAAAGCATGCAAGGCCAAGAACACCAGATTAAGTGAGAGTAACTTTTATGATTATATAAATACGGATACATTATGTATGCATATATAGCTAATGAATAGCATCCACATGGCCACATCGACTAAGTATGAATGATGGAATTACACAATAAGTGTTAAATTAGGCTTGACGAAAGGGTGACGTGGAAAGAAATTTATTTCTTACAGCGTATGGTATGTTGCTGCACAAGCATGCACCCCCACCCCCACCACACGGACATATATATGCATACATATATACACAAGAAAAGATTCAAAATAGGTATTTCTATTTTAAAAAAATTCAAGGTAACAAAAGAAAAACTCTAGATAACTCAACAGGGCACAATCTTATTATTAACATGATACCCAAGATCATTAAACTAATAAACTCAAATGAGCAAATAGACTAAACAAACACTCAAGAAAGCACGCGAACTTTAAGAATGACATGCTATTTTTGGATGTAAGCATACAATTTCACAATTACACCCGACAGGTAACCATGACATAGAAAAAAATGTATAAAGTCTAGACAAAAGTGCCTAATTGTGAGAGGCAAATTAAGGTTATACTTGATATGAATGATTGACTCTCTTTTTTAGTACAGACAAACCTGACCAGTACAATCATATTCTTGGCATGGCATCGTAGTTATGCCCAACCACTGCCCTAAAGTGGCTCTCTATGACTCTAAGAAACAATTGCATGGTCTAAGCGAATATGTATGGGAGCTGTTAAAGTGTCCTAAATCAAGTAAATATGAATTAGACCCAACCTAATATTTAACATTAATAAATTCAAGAAGCAATTAGTTTCCCTGCATTGTAACATTGTGCCAGAACATTATAATTATACATATTAAATACTTTTAAGGCTTAGAATCTCCTAAATGAGATAAGTGTACCTTGTTAGAATCTGATATCATGTAAAACTGAGACTCAAATTTATTATCATATATGCGGTTGTTAAGTAATGGAATCAGAGGCTTTATTTCAGCAATATCTTCCACTTTAAATTTGTAACTGTGTCAAAGACATGCAATTGAAAAGGTTAGTGCAACATACAAATTTGATAAAAGAGAAAAGTCCTCAGAAATTTGTGTTAAACATAAACGCACGTTAATATTAATGCTAGTATCTGTTTCCCTGAGGGTAACTTGTCCCTATCACCTGAAAGGGTATGAACTTTAGCATCAATTGGACGATATGCAGTTCTAATCTGAAAAGTTTTATATCAGAGGAAACAATTAGTTTGAATACTGTGGCATGAAATAGAGAAAATAATTTCAGCCAAGTAATGCAGTATGAGCAGGTCTCACCTTATTAAGAATTGCAGTAGGAGCAAGTGTCTCAGTTGATATACGAGCTTCAACATCAATTCGTATAGGTGCTTCACTTCCATCAAGTACCACTTCCTCTTTGTTCGCATTGATTCCATGAAATCCAATCTATGAATTCATATTGGTGATATCATTCTTTTCTGAGCATATGCATGATATTATTGTAAATGTTAGGAAATGCCCTCTATGAGCCTAAGCCACCCCCTGCACTGTGCATGACTGCACGCACACATAGTCCTACCATCATACAGCTCACAATATAAAACCTGAGAGCTGAAGCATATTCACACTTTAGGCAGTTTAGGGAACTAATTTCCCTACTTCATTACCCATATAAGCACATGTATTGTGCTCCTTTGATTGAGAATGATTTTTGCCTGAAAACTAGGAAGCAATAGATATCTCCCGCAAGGGAGGAACCTGCTCAATGACATGCTTTTTGAAAGGTGGGATTAACTTTGTCCAATATCCTAAAAGGTTGGATTAATGACATCCAAAATTCCTAAAAAATTGTTTTGAATATATCCATAAACATACTCCATCCTTCCCACAAAGAACTTCACATTTTCGTTGGATGTCCCAAAAAAACTTCATACTTAATTTTTTTCTTATAAACGAAAGGAATATGAAGCCTATACAAATTCCTATTTCTAAACAAATTCTAAACACACTTTTCAACACTTTTCCTGAACTCCGTAAAGTCAAACACTGAAGCTAATTGTGGGCCAGAAGGGGTATATGAATTGTATATACAAAACACTATTATTATTATTAATGTATATATTAATCATTTATCATTATGTGTGGCTATTATTATTATTATTAATGTATCCATTAATCATTACACACACACACAGTGTGTAAGGGAGATAGATAGAAGGGAAGACTAACTTTAAAGAATTTCTTCACTATAAAGGTCATTACTAAAAAGATACATAAAAGGCAATCTTCAAATTCATCACTATGAAAACAAATGGGATCAAGGTGATGATGGCATACCCTAATATACTACTGAAGAAAATTGAGGATGTAGCCGTAGAGAATTATTCATATGTGCCAAGGCATGGCAATGGCAAAAACTGATAGGTTTCAAATCATGAACACAGAATCAATAGATCAAATGTTTAGCCATTGGATATAAAAAGAATACCTCAAAATCAATCATAGTGATCTCGTGACTTCCTATTCCACTAGACCAAAACTGAGCTACTGTTATTTCCATCGTGCGACCACCCTCCACTGCAACGATAAAGCTTTTAGTAGAGGGTGAAGAAAATTTCGCCACATTTTCCCATTTGCTTGGCCTTTGCAAAGGAGAGATCTACATAAAGCGGGAATAATATAAGTGGTGCTTCAAGGTCAACAAATATAAAACATCAAAAGAGAATAGAAAAAAGTTAATTTTACTTTTGGGCCCTCAATTACAGATTAACTGTGACATTTCCACTTTTAGCCATTAGCTGTCAGTTCATTCACTTAATGTCATGGCATTAAAAATGTGCCACGTCCAGTGGATTATGTCCAAATGTACCAAACTTGGCACTTCTTCATATGACAGTTTTTAGATATTTTAAACTAAATTTGATACCTTAGCTCGAATTGAAGATTATCATGTACTCCGTATGTTTTACCTGAACCATATCAATGTAGAATGTTCTAGGTGTATCAAAACATGATGTTTTCATGGTAGCCTCAGCCCAAGTAGCACCAATGGGTACGTCAATAAACCTCCGTTCAATATGACCTTAAACAGAAATGTAAGAGGTAGATCAAAAACTCAGAAAATTAATGCCAAAAGTAAGGGTCTAACTAAGGCTATGTACATTTTAACTTCGAGCCTCCAAGAGAGTTGATATTATATTAGGTTGTAGTTGTATTAAGTCCATAAAAAACTTTTTGAGTATGACAATCGTTAAAGTATAAAGCTTTTAATGAGCCTCCAATCATCCGTTTAAGCTTTTAGTTGAGTTGCTTTATTGGCATGGTATGAGAACTTCGTTGACCTAGAGGTCATGAGTTCAATTGTCAACAACTCATATCGAATTATGCGCCAAGGTATGGATGAGCCCTTGTTATAGCCATGTTTGAAGCCCAAAAAACATGTGTGAGGGAGTGTGTTAAAATATAGTCGTTTTTTAACGGTTAAGTATGTTGTTGGTCCCTATAAAATTAGCAAATTTTGTGTTTGTTCCCTCTAATTGTTTTTGTAATTAATTCATCCATGTACAATGTTTTTTTTGCAAACAGTCCTCCCACCCATTTTGGAGCTAATGTTGAATATTTCTTTGTCTTGCAAAATTTGTGATTTTGTTTTTGTATTCAAAGCGGTTTTGTTTTTAATCCCTGTAAACCTGATACATTAGCTCCAAACTGATGGGATGACCATTTGCAAATAAACACGAATTAACCACAAAAAACTTCAAAGAGACCAAATGCAGAATTCACTAATTTTACAGGAACCAAAAACATATAACTCTTTCTTTTACCTCCCAACCATCGGCTTAAACCTTTAGTGGAGGTGGTTCTTTGACAACAATTAAATTGTCACGCAAGACACAAACTATCCAACATATAAATTCATAGAACTTATTCCAATTAGATCAGAACCATTCAGTTCAGGTGAAGAGAACATGGCCGTAGATGGCGTAGTAATGCTGACTCATTGACATTTAAGAACAGATTTTCAAGAAATACGACAACCACCTGGACGAAATGGTATTCCCTGAAATGAAATCAAAGGGGGATGATTTCTCATAACTCTTGGCTTGGTTATAGTGACTGGAATTCTGAAAAGAGGGCCACGCCATGGAGCCTTGCAATCTACGCCATATACTTCATAATAATGCAAGCCCTCGTCAAGACGCGTAGGGTCAACAACAATGCTGGATGGGAGGGAAAGATAAAGGAAGGTTTGTGGTGAGCGCTAATGGGGAACATTTCTTATGAGAAAAGAAATAAATACATCATATTAAATGCATTTTGTTTAAAGTTGTACCCAAACAAAACACCAAGAAAAACTTAACCAAAAGAAAAGATGGTGATTTTTAGGCATGGGTTAATATAGACTCAAGGAGGATTGAAAATTTGTGTGTGTGTGTGTTTTTTTTTTTGCTTGGGGAGGTAGGGGGGTTAAAAGAATTGTGAGATAGACTAACTTGAAGCTACGGCCGTTATGGGTGAGGAGGACGAATTCAGGAGATCTAACCACTGACTCTCCAGTAGAATGCAACTGAATACACTCTTCAAATGGAACCAGTTGCTCTAAATTACTCGCATCATTATGGAACGTCGGTTGAACTTCAACTGTCCACTGAAAAAAATATTAAATCAGAATCCTTGAATAAATGAACTTGCAAATAAATGATGAGTCACTTGAGTGAACTGCATTTTAACTGCACATAAGATCTAAATATCTCATTAACACATTAAATAAAAAAAATTGAAAGCTATTGATATATCACCTCTGTTGATTCATTACAAAAACTAATCTCCCTTAGGTAAATACCTCGGGATGTAGGAGCTGCACCCAAAGTAAAAATTTGGAACTTAATCAGACTCCGCACAACATGTTTGCCCATATGCAATATCTGGTTGAAAGAATGCTTAATAATAACTACCAATGGACATGCAAATTAGATATACTGTAGATCATTGCACTCTTGCCCTATAGAACTACTAATTACATGTGATTGTTTTTCGTCCCTTGATTCTTTAAAAATAATAATACTCTTCTCATGATTAATTCCACGATTTGCAGAGCTATGTGAGTGTGGGTAAACATATGTGCATCAACTGATAAAGAAGAAAATAGGGAGTAAAGATGTGTACTTGACTTCCCAGCCTGATTTATCTTGATTTGATACCACACACAAGGGAGGTGTTGTGACTTCTGAATATACTCATAAGCCCTGTCATGCATCCAATTATTAAGGAATACTCTAATTCACAGAAGTGTTCTCATTTCAAACTATCGAACACTAGTTTGAAAAAAAAGTAAACTTAACTTGTCAACTTGCATGAGCCCTTCTCCTGCACTTAACTTATCTTCTGGCAAAGACCCCACAGGAGAAGCTGTATTTTCTAGAGCCTTCCGTACAGTGTACGGGCTCACAGGAATTCCTTCAGCCTGCACAATAATTGGGCTTTTCAGAAGTGAAATAAAAAAATGATGAACATGACAGACAAGGTAGATTAAAGTAAACCTTCATGGCACTTATAAGTAGAGCAACTCCACCACAAGCAGAAGGAGATGCCATGGATGTTCCGTTCATCAACTTACGCCGTTGTAGTGTCCATGTAGGAACAGGAGCCACAGCTCCACCAGCAGCACTTATTGAGACACCAATATTTCCATCAGCAGTAGGTCCCCGACTGGACCTGCATATGAATACTTGTGAGTCAAATGTGAACTACTAGATGACAAAACGCTGTGGGTATCAGAGAGTTATCACTTATCAGGCATCCAGAAGACCAAATAGACAAGCGATTGAAGAGCTAATGATGTATTTGAATTGGGATAGGGAAACGCGATCACCTACTAAGATGGAAGTGTATAGCACATACCAAGTGTACTCAAGGCCTTCAGAAGGGGGTTGAACCAACAAGTGGGTCGCAGCAGCCATAGAAAGGGAAACATATGCACCAACACCAATTATGCTTGATGTAGTACCACCAGGTGCGCCGACAGTAGTCAATGCTGGTCCGCCATTGCCAGCACTGCTTACAAATACCATATGATACTTGTTGACAACCTTTACAGTCAATTGATACAATTATTTGAACAGTTGTAAATTTCCAGCATATTGTAGTTCAGCAAAGAACTCCAAAATTAGAAATGTAGGGGATTTTAATGTGTTACCTCATTGACAAGGTCAACGAAGCGACCATAATCTGGGAGCAATGTAGGTTCCCCATAACTCATATTGATGAGATCACACTTATGCTGCTCACATGACATAGATGATATGCATGCTTCAGAAGTGCAAATCAAAATGTCGTATGTACAGGTGCTAACTAGAGCTTAAAACTGGAAACGTAGTAATGTACAGGTAAACCTTAGCCCCCCGCCACCACCCAGACAAACCAATATTCGGAAGAGATTCAGTGAGGGAAAACAGTGAAGTTTCTTATGGAGTACTCAGAGTGTTAAACTCTAACAGTAGTAGGATGTAAATAATCATCATAAGTTTGAGAAGAAACATAAAAAGTAATCAATACAAGAAAAGCTTACCTCTACAGCTGCAATTACTGCTCGAGTCAATCCTGTTCCAGTTTCCATTGAACCTAATCGAGAATCACCAATTTTACATGATACCAATTGTGCTCCAGGTGCAATTCCATTTAGCAAAGGTTCCTTAAAATGCCAACATGCATTGCCCAAACATTAAAGCATGTTTGTTGCCACAGTATTAAACTTTAGCTGGTTTGTGTCAGGTTAAAAAAACCTTTGGATGGAAAGCTGCAGCAATGCCGGCAACATGAGTGGCATGTGGAGAAGAATCTGTTACAATACTTAGAATATTTCCTTCACTGTAGACATTTAAAACAAAAGTGCATGCATCCAGTGCACTAAATACACCATGCTTCTGTTTGGTTCTGTAATTAGTTAGAGGGATAAAATCAGCAAGCTTTCCACATTCAGGTTCATCATGAAAACCCTGTGTGTCAAGAGCAGCCCTCCATACTTCTCCGTCATGCCACACAACAGCATCAACGACAGGTCCCTTATCATCATAGCTCTACATTTTGAAATATATAAGATGGGTTAAGATGTACTTATAAAAACAGGAAAAGTGATTGAGAAAGAAAAAAATATAGTTACATCAATTTGCTTGCGCAGGAGATCAACTTTGTTCTGAAGGTCAGCACGAACCCTTTTCGAGTTGGTATCATCAGATTTTGCATGTTTCTGTGAAATTGGCAACTTTAAAAATGAATAAATAAATACTCCGATACTTTCAGAAAATGAAGCAACAACAACAACAACAACCCAGTTAAATCCCACAAGAGTAGGGTCTGGGGAGGGTGTGTGTACGCAGACCTTAACCCTACTCGAAAGTAGAGAGGCTGTTTCCAAAGAGACCCCCGGCTCAACGTCGAAAGTTGCATTGCTTGACTAACTGCTACTTCATTAATTAAAGAAGCGCAGACAGTTTAGAGATCCATTTTGATTTATTCCATCACACCCCAAAGCCAAAAAATGGTAAAATTTTGGCTCCATCGGAGATGATGGAAAATTTCAGAAAATGAAGCATATAAAATATAAAGAGAAATATGTTCTTACTAGAATTATGAGAAAATTATAAGCATTTGATAAAGTGCAAAAGATGAAAGAGGTCTGAGATGAAACTTTTGTCACTATCCTACTCTCCTTTGCCATTTGTTGAAGACTATATGTCTATCTTGTGTTTTATTCAGACATATAGAGGATGGACTCTTGAAAGGAAAAAAACCTATCACCTTCGGCTTCTTTACTCGTCAAAAGAAAGCTTTATATTTGATCTCCAAAGAGTTCAGATCTTTAACTTCAAATGTAGTTAAGGTTTTTCCATCTTATCTGTTGTTTAACAAATCAAATCTCAAAACTTCCAACAAATTTCTTTATAAATCATTGAGTTCTAATGGCTGGGATTCACCTTCCTTTCACACTAGCAGGACGGAAACGAGAAGCTGTCAACAGCAGGCAAGGAGGAGGAGCACCATTGACGGGTAATTTTGGTTTTTTTACATCTGTAGATCTATTCAGTTGTTAATCTATTGTTGCTATGTTGCCTTAAATTTATTTTTCTATTTATTAAAATTGATTTGAAGTGTGAGACAGTAGAAGTTGAGAAAATGTTACCCGAGAAATTTTCTTTTTTTTGACAATGTTACCCGAGTAAATTTTATTAGACTTTTTTGAAAATTGAAAATATTCAAAATTCAAATGTTATTTAAGTTAGGTAAGGTTTGCCACTTTGGTAGTTTGTTGAACACTTGTACTGGAGAAATATTATTCAGTTAATTGAAAAAACTAAATCGGTTAACTATTATGCTATTTTTCTAAAACAAATGTAAAGGTGTTTGAATATGAAAGTGTCATCAACATCTGGATCCAGTAGTTGTGACATTGGTGGAGAAGGTGTGTGGAAATGCCTCTAATGATATATCCCAACCTAGCTCCTTTCCTTCAATGTCATAGAAAGTTATTTGAATCATCTTCCATGGGATCGCTCAAGAGAAAACAAACTATGGATTATTTTATGTTATGTTCACTGTATGTGCAATGTGCCTAGTGCTAGGGGAAATTTATTCTAGATCCACCATTGTCCATGATTTAATAATGAGTTTTATTGTGAGGAAAAATAATACATCTAGAGACTCTGAACTCCCAAGAGAGGTGTCACAAACACAACAAATGCAATTTTGCACCAAACTTGTGGTAAGAACAGAACACCTGAAGCATACTTCAATATTCTGTTTTCTGACATTTATTGTAGATATAGAAAAGGTCTAATGAACTTTAGATTCCATAAGATGAAAACTAAAAAAAATGGAAAGAAAAACTCCTGATAAAACCTTGTCAAAATCATCAAGATGCTTTACAGCCTCAGCAATAGCTTCCTGGTTTTTCACATCCCATTTTTTTCTTCTTTCTTTCTACACAAAAATGAAAACAATGATTTTTAAGACCAGAAAATGGAACAAACAGTATACCTTACAAAATAGAATAATAGGGGTTGCTGAGGCAGTTGCAGTCTAAGATTTACCTTCACTCGAGAAACCAGATCATCAGTAAACAGCTCATACACCATTTTGCAACCCACGTGCCACTCACCAGATGGATTCTTCCATGAAGAGTTTACAATCAACGATTCCCCTAAAATAAAAGAGAACCAACTCAGGCAAAACAAGACACATTCCAATAAACAAACCCATAAGTTGAAACAGCACAGTGCAGTTGTGATGCAAAAAGGTGAAAACTAGCAGTGTTTATGTCCATAAATCCAAACTTGAAGAAAATGCACCAGAGGCTCCACGAATGCAGCCATCGGCATCAGCCTTCACCACAGTAGATGTATCAACATCTCCGCTCCCTGTACTGGAATAATGCGGCATACATAACAATGTGAATATCTATTTCTATACATATTAACATCCAGATCATAGAAAATACTTCTAACAAATATGCTTAGACCTGAAGTTCAAAATCTCTGTCTTACCAATCTAAGACATCAAGAATTTTTGGTTTCCCATCTGATGTCACCTGCAAACCAGCTGCAGCTGGATCAACTCCGGAATCTAAAACAAAACCGGAGCAAATGGAGAAATTGGCGTCATTGATTAGAATAAATAAACACTAAGAAAACATGCAGCTATTGAAACATCAAAAGCAGTGTAATCCCGCTTTCAGATTCCTAGCCTACCAAACATTCCATTTGCTAAAGTATGCAAATAACTCCTGAAAAGTAAAAACCGCTGAAGTGAAATCGCAATGGATATCGGAACTGACCGAAAATTGCTATGACGACGCCGCGCCCGTCGTAGCAAGGGTGAGCTTCAATGAAGCGGTCGGCGGCGATTTCCTTCTTAGGCATCTGAGAGGCGAGGAAAGTGGACTCGTTCAGTCTGAAATTGAGCAAAGTTGCATTGCCGTCGCCGGAATTTACAGTCGACGAGCAAGGCATCGCCCTACTGATCAGCCCTCCTCTTAGGTGTAAGGTTTGAAGTCGTCTTCTTCGACGGGTGAAGTAGAAAAAAGAAAAATTACAGTCACAATGTGAGTATGTGACTTGGGAAAATAGATGGGTTAGTTATATAATTGCAGGCTTGCAGCCATTGTGCTGTTTTAGAAGAGGACATTTTGGTCATTGCAGTTGGAGGACATTTTGGTAATAACAGTTGAAGGACATTTTGGTCATTATGTTGGTTGGTCTGTGTTTGATTAATTTTGTTGATTCTTACCTTATTCGGATATTCAAAATCTCGCAATGTCAACGAAAATGACGAAAACAAGATGTGAGCCATTAATCCGACCAAAAAACTAATTTAAGATATTAGATAATCGTTGATAGAAATTTTTTTTATCTTACTTCTACATGTTCGTTTTTACAGTGATTCAAACTTAAGACCTCTCGACGGAGAGTCTTAGATGTTGAAAGTAATTACCAAATAGGTTGCTCCAATATGTGGGAGTTTTTTATTTTGTATTTACCCCTCTCCATTTTACTTTAGCTGCTCGCAAAGATTTTAAAAAATTATTTAAAAATAAAAAATGTATTATTGAAATTGATTTGAATATAAATAAATATCGACGACCACATAGTTTTTATCCAGATATATTATTTATTTTCACACAAACGAAAAAAATATGTTATTTATTAAGGGAAGATGAGTATTTGGGTTGGTTCGTCATTAATAAATATTTTATCCAAGATAAAATGATCATTATACAAGACGTTAAAGACAAGTTTGGTTGGATGGAATATGTTTTATGATACTCCCATAAAAGTGAGACTTTTTGCAACGCTAGTAAAGTTTTACATTAAATAGGTGAAAATGTGAAATGTTGCTATCTCCGTCTCGGATACTTTTTTTCAGTTTTGATTTTTTTTAGTAAATCATTTTTAACATTTGACCTATAAATAAATAAAATATATATTATAAATTAATTCAATATAAAAAATTTTGAAAATATTTTATACTCGGATAAATTTAATAAAACTATTTTTATATCAATATCTAATATCATTTTTTATTTAAAGTGTCAATATTTTTAGCGGTATTGTGTTAGATTGTGTGGCATTAGATATAAGACAAGACTTGTCATTAATTTAAGCAACACATATATAAAGTGTCACTTAAGGCATGCAATACTTTTAGCAACGTTTATTTTTTTAACATGATGCAACAATTTTAAACTTTTAAGCAACACTTTGATAACTCATGGTAACATCATTATTTTGCCTTGTAACACTTTAAAATGTGAAGCAACACTTGTCTCCTTTAATGTAACACATCTTTATTTTTTGAAACTCGATCTTTCATAAATTTGTTATTTAACTATTCTTGTTGTTGTTGTTTTTATTTTATTTTTATTTTTATTTTTTATTTTAATTATTACTCCATCCATCTAATAATAATAATATTTCTGTCCACTATTCACAGGATCAAACTTTATTGACATAATTTTCGTTATCTATTTGATAAAATAATATAGTCATATCACATCTAGCTTTGTAGATCTTTTCACGTAATTTTTAAATATGTAATTTTTATTTTTTTAATTTCATGCAACGATTCTTTATATAAAATAATTTGAAAATAATTTCAGTCAAATATCGCAACGCGCAATGAGAACATTATTTTTGGATGGATGAAAGTATTATTATTACTACTAGTACTAGCTATTAGTACATCTATTACTATTACATATGCACTTTGACACAATAACACTTGAGAAAAATCTAAATTTCATTTAATTAAGCTATGTAGGAGTAATTAACAACACAAACGTTCAGTCTCAAGAAAACTACAACTTCCATTTCATTGGTGGCCACATACATATGATCGACATTGTTAAGCTGTTTCCATGCATATTCCAACCCAAATATTCCTAACCCAAAACAGACGAGCCTCTCATAAATAATATTTCCTCGGTCCAATAATAATACGGAGTAATGTTTATGTTCATTATTCATACGCAATGTCAAACTTTATTCACTTTAATTTATTTGTTGGCGTATTTCCTTTGCCCATTTCATAAAATAATATAGTCATGTCACCTTTAGTTTTATAGATCTTTTCATACATGTAGTTATTCTAATATGTAATTTTTATTTTTTAATTTCATACGTAATGTAATCTTTCATATACTCCCTTCGTCCCATAAACATTGGGACGGTTTGACTAAAATGGTAAAATATGAAGGATAATTTTGTGTTGACTTTCCAAAAATATTCTTGATGTGATAGGTAAAAGTAAGATATGATGAGTAGATTATTAGAAAAAAAAGGTATGATGTGATAGGTAGGGTACGAAAAGATAAGGGGTAAAAGAGGTTTTTTAATAGAAATAAGACGGACTTTAAAGAACGCAAATTTTTTGAAACGGGACTGACTTTATGAGACGGAGGGAGTAAAATGATTTTGAAAATAATTTTAGTCAAATATCGTAACGCAGAACGGAAACATTATTGTTGGACGGAATTGAAGTAGCAGAAAAGTCCATCCCGTCTCCGCTCTATGTCCTCTTCTGATGACTCTTGATCTTGACAAGGACTGCTAGTGATATACGTCGATCAAGTCCGCATGGTCCTTATGGGCTGGGCCACCTCCGTTATTGAGTATTTGTTCAGTTTTCACTTTTTTTTGTCTACTATTTTCAACTTTTGATTTATAATTAAATAAAATATATATTGTATATTAATTAAACAAAATAATATTTTGAAAATATTTGATATAATACATCTAATAAAACTATTTTTGTATCAATATATAATACTCCCTCCGTTCCACTAAACCCTTCCTCTTTCGTTTTTTTTGCTTTCCACAAAACACTTCCACTTTCTATTAAAAAACCACTTTTACCCCTACTTTTTCATACCCTACCTATCACATCATACTTTATCACTAATAACCAAACTATCACATCTTACTTTCTCCCATCACATCAGGGGCAAAATTGGAAAGTCAACCAAAATTACACTTTCCTTATTTTTCCCCAAAGTCAAAACCGGAAGGGTTTTGTGGAACGGAGGGAGTATCATTTTAATTTAATCTAATGTCAAAGTTTACCAATTTTGACCGAAAAAGTAAAAAATGGACAAATACTCCGGAACGGAGGAAGTATTTTTTGAAGGGTAGAAGCTTTAATATGTTCATGGTATATATATATATACTCCCTTCGTCCCACAAAATATTACTCATTTTGAATAGTGTTTGGTCAAACAATTACACAGTTTGATTACAAATTGTGAGAAAAGTATATTAAATTATAATATAAATTTTATATAATTGGATTAATCTTAGGATCTAGTTTTGATATGTCAAATTTTTATAACATTTTTTTTATTTAGATTATATTTAATTTATGGTCAAAGCATATAGATGTTTGACTAAAAATACATCAAAATGAGTAATATTTTGTGAGACAGATGGAGTATTATTGTAAAATAGATAATGCATGTAACACTTTCATGGTTTTGCCCGTTTTTTATTGGTAACACTTTTTCACAAGTGTTATCTAATAATAATGTACTTTATGTAACAGTTACAAGAAAATGATACCTTACTTATACGTAACATTTTAAAATAAGTGTTGCACTATAGAGTAGTAATAAGTAACACTTATATAAATGTTTCCCATAAACTGATACAAAAGATTTATCTACTTCGTAGGGAAAATTTACTTAAATAACACTAAAACATAATGACTTTTCTTAAATAGCATCATATGTGTTTTTCTCAATGTAGCACTTTTAGTCATTATTCAAGTATATGTTCGTCATCACTGGACATTATTTTTTCTTCTGGATATTATTAAGTGTTATTTAATAAATAAAACAGTTCAAGTGCTATTTAGTAAAATGAGTTAAGTTTTAGTGTTATTTATTTAGTGTAAATATTTCATTTTTTTGTAACAGTGATAATTTGTTGAAAGCATTATTAAGAATTAAACTGGGCATTTGAATTTTCGGATATATTTGACGCACATGCATGCGATATTTCCCCACGAGTTTGATAATAACTTTGTTCATTGTTGATCGAAAATGCATGTATGGATGAGAATCAAGCTAAGGCCGGCCAAGCAGATCCATTGCACCCACGCACACAAACAAAATAAACTTATATTTTTACCTAAATATTTAACACATTACTTTTCAGCAGTCGCGGGAACTTTTATTTATTTTTACGTTTTCTTTGATTATTTGATAATATAAAATATTCTTGACACATCTTATTTCGAAAAACTTTTTACGTAGTTTTTTAATATGTAAATTTTATCTTTTATTTCTACACCAATACGTAAATAAAATTAATTTAAAAAACTTGATATTTTATCTCGGTAATAGAAGTGTAACAAATATTTAGGGAGGAACGGTACCCTTGCAAACACATCCTAGGAAAGAAGCTCTTGTCATCATGTCACACTCAAGAGCTCACCCGCCTTTTTTTTACTTACTTCGTCCATAAATATTTGTCATACTTGTATTCTCAAGGTAAAATATCAAATTTTTTCATATCATTTTATTTATATATTGGTGTATAAATAAAAAATAAAATTTACATATCAAAAAACTACATTAAAAGTTTTCCGAAATAAGAGGTGTCAAGAATATTTTATTTTATCAAATAACCAATGAAAACATAGAAATAAACAAAAGTTCTCGCGGCTGCTGAAAAAGCAAACGTTGCAAATAATTTGGGACGGAGGGAGTATTTAGTTATTTGTAATACCCGCCGGCTACAGGTGTACATTTTCATTTTGTGCCAGTGTGATTCAAGAGTGATGATTCATACAGATACAAGGCAGAAAATGTTAGTGCAAATTTTTTAGTGTTAGTGTATATCTTGAGGAAATGACGAACATATGTAAAATAATAATAATTCATTCCTGACAGTGTAAGTCAGACATTTTTTTCCTGACAGTGCAATACCATTTTTCTTATAAAATAAAGTTAAAAAAGTTTTAAAAAAATTTATAAAAGTGGAGTTAATTTGTTAAAAAAGTTTATAAAAGTGGAGTTAAAATAACTAAAAAAAGTTTAAAGAAAAAAACAAATTAAGCAACAAATGAAGGTGGGTGAGCTCCGTACATTGCGAAATTATTAAAAAAAATAGTGAAACGGATTAGCCTAATCCGTTTCGTAATTAAATGAGAGAAACGGATTAAGCTAATCCGTTTGGGAAAATACATACCTCCAAACGGAGTAAGCTACTCCGACTTGCTTATTTGGAGAAATTGTAACTTAATGTTACATATAAAGGAATGGTTTGTGGGGTGTTTACACATGTAGGGAAAACCCCTTGGTATAATTTTGAATTGCGTTTCTTGATATACGTGTGTCATGGTTGTTTTTTTGTGTTTTGAGACAGTGTATATAGGATATGAGGAACATTATATTGGGACTATGTTTTCATTGATTATTTGATAATTTAAAATATTCTTGACACATCTTATTTCAAAGAACTTTTTACGTACTTGATATTTTACCTCAGTAATAGAAGTGTGACAAATATTTAGAGACGGACGAAGTATTATTGAAGAGAAAAGGATTTAGAGCATACCCCACCATCACAATCACGGTACCCTTGCAAACACATCCTAGGAAAGAAGCTCTTGTCATCATGTCACACTCAAGAGCTCACGCACCTTTTTTTTATTTACTCCGTAGTTATTTGTAATACTCGCCCGCTACCGGTGTACATTTTCATTTTGTACCAGTGTAATTCTAGAGTGATAGTTTATATAAATGCAGGCAGAAAATGTTAGTGTAATTTTTTAGTGATAGTATATATCTTTGGTATAATTTTGAAGTACGTTTCTTGATGTACGTGTGTCATGGTTGTTTTTTTTTGTTTTGAGTAGACAGTGTATATAGGATAGGAGGAACATTGGGGCTATATAAAGATCAGGCATCGCTGCGGCTTAATACACACACTTGAATGAATATAAAAAATTCCCACCATCTCAGATCATCAGCCACTTATATTTCTATCCTTTGTTAACATTATTCTCCGGCAACCGCCAGATAAAGGCCCCCGCCGGTTCCCTTTATAAAAAAAAAAGAAAAAAAAATGGTGACGGTGGAGGAGGTGAGAAAGGCCCAACGGGCGGAGGGTCCGGCAACGATCTTGGCCATCGGCACCGCCACGCCGCCCAACTGCGTTGACCAGAGCACTTACCCTGATTACTACTTCCGCGTCACCAACAGCGACCATATGACTGACCTCAAACAAAAGTTCAAGCGCATCTGTAAGCTATATATTTATCAGCTTACCTAGCTAAAAGATTCTTGGGTTTATTTTTTGGACTTTAGTCATTTGATATCACTAAAAAGAATTGGACTTTTAAGCCAGTGGTAATGGGCATGAGGCCTACCATCGTTATGCACATTTTGACGCAGAGGGGGCATTAAACTTAACACCGCCCCCCTCCTCCGTTATTGTCCCCTTAAAATTGTTGCGTCAAAGTTTAATTTTGATGCGGCTTGAAAGTTTTGAAGCCCTCCCGCCCAACAACGGCTATTTACAAATTAAAAAATCTTTTCCCCCCTCTTTCTTCCTCTTTTTTCTCTGTAAATTGAATCATTTTTAAAAAAAAAAATCAACACAAATATCATCTTTTTAAAAGAAATATTTTCAAGTATTTTATATTTATTTTATCATGAAAGTAATTTTTAATGAATTTAATTTATAATAATCAATGTAATCCTTTTTATTGAATTTAATTTTTTGATTCACAATGCACTAACGGCGGATTTGATTGAACATATCTTCAGTAGCTCGAATAATTAGTAATTTGTTTGTAGTGTTGTTTTTTTATGGATGTAATATTTATTTAATGAATGTAATTTTTTTAATGAATGTATTTTTTATGGATGTAATATTTTTTTAATGAATATAATTTTTTAATGAACTATTCTCCTTTCGATTATTTTAAATAATTAAATAATTCTATTTTAGTAATTTAATTTTAGAAGATGTATATTTAAAATATTAAAAATGAAGGTTTGAAGCCCTAGTTTGAATTTTGAAGCCCGGGGGCTTCAAACCCTTTTCTACTGAAACTGTGAGAACGCGGCAGAGAGAAAAAGTTTGAAGCCTCAGGACTTCACGAGTATTTCCAGTGCTCTTACATAAATTAAATGGTTCACATGGATAGTCCATCAAAAGTGTGAGAAAGCTCTATTTTACATGTGGACCTTAATTCTAAGATAGAATAACTCTTTACTTTATCAGTGATATAATTTTAGTCACATTCTCTCCAGTTTATTTCTGCTATATATTAATTATTCTAATCAGAATTAGGCCAGGTTTTATCAGATCTATTTATATCATATCACATTCGTTCAGATCAGATCCATTCAAATCAAGAAAAGTATAATTATTATTATCATTTTTATATAATAATTAATAGTGATAATTTATTATCATCATTCTTAGTAATAACATTAATACTAATTAATTATATCAATAGTAATAATAATTAAAATAGTTATAATCATTATTATTATTAAGAAATAAAAATTAAAAACAATGATAATTACAATTCATAATAATTGTTTTTGTAAATATAATAATAATAATAATTTTTAATTAACAACAATAATAATAGAGTTTAACCATAACTATTATTTTAGTAATAATTATAATTAATAATGATAATCATCATCATTAATCATAAAAATTAATAATAATAATAATAATAATAATAATAATAAATACTTAAAATAATAATAAATATAATTATTAAAATATAATGATAATAATTATTATTATTCTTAATTAAAATTATAATTATTAACAATAAAATTTATTATTGAAAACGTTATTAAGAATCATAAATAATAAATCATTATTATTAATATAATTATTTTTATTATTATTATTATTATTATTTGACCTGAAATAGATCCATTTAGATGAGATCGTATCAGATCCATTTTGATCAAATTAGATTTGATCAGATTCAATTAGATCAGATCAACCTTAAAAAAGTTTAGTTCAAATCAGCGGAAGTGAACGTAGCCTTACAAGGGTCACTACTCACTAGACTAATTATTTCTTACATTCCTTTTTAACTCGTGTGTTTGTTTTTCAAAGTTAATGTTTAATCAACAGTATCACTTCATAGAAAAACTCAATCTCAATAATTCTAATTTTACCTGGTCTTTAAAAAATAATTTCACATTTCCTAACATTCTTTGTCTTTTATTAGATTTGGGCAATGCCCTTTTTCTTTACGAGTTGTGGAAATCTTTTATGACTTTTTTGGAGGAGTGTTGAAGTATTCTTTACTCTTTTTCTATTTCCCATTTTGGCTTTGCTTTTTGGTTTTTACTTGTTCTACAGAAGAGAAAAAAGAAGAGAATTTGATACTTAAGAATGGGTGATTTGATAGAGAGAGAGAGAGAGAAAGAAAGATGACTGAGAGTATGTGGTTGAGAAGAAGTCTCAGTAGTAACATTCCGATTTCGTATTGGGGGAGTTGTCTATCTGTAAAAAAAGAGGGTTGATTGGATTTTGCGGCAACTGTTGGATTGATTCGGATAGGCCATGCTTTTGGCAGTGAGAGACGGAAAAATAACAGTATGCTTAGCAGTTGGTGACGTAACTGGCGCTAAATTTGGCACTTGAAGTGTTTGACACAATAGAGATGTGAGCAAAGGTTGCGATTTCGTCGTTGNTGGGGGGGGGGGGGGGGATTGCTAGGTGATGCGGCAACTGAACAAGTTCTTGCAAAGAATTTGAGAGTTTGAATATTTTTTTATACCAAAATTTGGTATACTTTTTCCAATTTTAATTCGTTGTATATTTTTACACACTTACTCAAATGTTTGACACACAAATCAAAACAGATAGTTGAAAATGAATAGAAAATGTAATTCTTTAAAAAGTTAAAATCTTAGTTTGACTTTGTTTAAATCATTTTGTAGGTGAGAAGTCAATGATCAACAAACGTTACCTGTACTTGACAGAGGAATTGTTGAAAGACAAGCCCAACATGTGCGAGTACATGGCACCTTCCTTGGACGCTAGGCAAGACATTGTTGTAGTAGAAGTCCCAAAGCTCGGAAAAGAAGCGGCCCAAAAGGCCCTCATGGAATGGGGCCAACCCAAGTCCAAAATCACCCATTTGGTGTTCTGTACCACCAGCGGCGTCGACATGCCTGGCGCCGACTACCAGCTCACCAAGCTTCTTGGCCTCACACCCTCCGTCAAGAGGCTCATGATGTACCAGCAGGGTTGCTTCGCCGGCGGCACCGTCCTCCGCCTCGCCAAGGACCTCGCCGAGAACAACTGTGGCGCCCGAGTTCTCGTTGTGTGCTCCGAGATCACCGCCATCATTTTTCGTGGCCCAAGCGATACCAACTTGGACTGTCTGGTGGGCCAAGCCCTCTTCGGGGATGGGGCTGCGGCGCTCATAATTGGATCGGACCCGCTCCCGAGCTTAGAGAGGCCTTTGTTTGAGCTCGTGACTGCAGCCCAAACTCTCTTGCCTGACAGCCACGGGGCAATCGACTTGCACCTTCGGGAGGTGGGCCTGACGTTCCACCTGCGGAAGGACGTCCCGGAGATCATATCGAAGAACATAGAGAAGAATCTGAAGGAAGCGTTTCAACCTTTAGAAATCTCCGAATGGAACTCCCTCTTTTGGATCGCGCACCCGGGTGGGCCAGCAATACTAGACCAGGTGGAAGCAAAGTTGGGCCTGAGGCCCGAGAAACTTCGGGCCACGAGGCACGTGTTGAGTGAGTATGGGAACTTGACCAGTGCTTGTGTATTGTTCATATTGGACAAGATGAGAAAGGCCTCGGTGAAAGATGGGCTTAGCACAACTGGTGAGGGGTTGGAGTGGGGAGTACTTTTTGGATTTGGGCCGGGCCTCACTGTCGAGACTGTTGTTCTCCATAGCGTCTCCACTAATTAATTGCTCAAAACTCTCGGGGCCTGTTTGGTTGAAGGGGAGGGGAGCCTCTTGTTCGGTTCAAAAATATGGAGAGGAGGGCATCCAAAATTTTATCATCAATTCTTTCCCTACCCCTCCAAAGTCCAAATCAATCCCTCAATATCGAAGAGATTCTCCATCCCTGCTCTCTTCTTCCTCTTTTTTGTCAAGATTTTCTTGGCATTGTCGTTAGAATAATAATAATAATAATAACAATACGAAAAAAATAATAATGTTACAAAAAATAATAAAAATTATAATATAAATGATCAAATAAATAAGAAATAAAAATAAAAAATAATCATACTAATAAAAATGATAATTATAATTTCATAAATAATAATAATAAAAGTAAAGAATAATAAATAAATAAAAATTAAAAAATAATGAATAAATAATAAAAATATTAATAAGTAATAAATAGTATTTAAATAAATAAAAAATTAAAATAATAAATAATCATATTAATCATAATGATTATTATAAATTAATAAATAAAATAAATAATAATAAAAATAGAAAAATGTAAATATATATATGTGTGTGTGTGTGTATTTATATGTATATATACTAAATTTATGAAAATAATAAATAAATAAATAAATAATAAAATGATAAATAAATAAAAAATATAATAATTAAAAAAATATCAATAAAAAACAAATAATAAATAAGTAATAAATTAAAATAAAAAATATGTAATGAACATAAAGTACAAAAAATAAATAATAACAAGAAACATAAATATATATAAAAGAAAATGAAATAATTAAACCTGTTAAAAAACTAGTACTAATTAAAATAAATAATAGTTAAAAAAATAAAATTTAAAAGTAAAATATAAAAATTAAAGTTTTCCCTCCCCTCCAACCAAAAAGGTGAAGCCGTGAAGGTACTCCATCTCATCCTTTCCTTCCCCTCCCCTCCCTCCCTCCCTCCCAACCGAATAGGCCCTCAGTGTTCCACCGATTTGTGTTTTAATTACGTTAAGTTGTGGGCATGGAATTTTATTTATATTATTATTATTATTATTATTATTATTATGGTATGTTCCACAATATAATATCAAATAACAATATTGTGTGCGATTTTTTGATACTTGGAATCAAGATATGGATTGGAGGAATTTAGTTTGTTGTTAATGTTAGTTCCATATTGTGTTGGCATTATTTTTTGACAAACGAATAGATTTACCTAAAATTATTTTAGATATTTTATTTAGACTTAAAGTTCTAGCATGTGAAGAAAGAGAAAGAGGAAAGAGCTTGAAGAAAGAAGTCTAATCCTACTTGGTTTACTATTCTTGAGGAGGAAGGCATGGTTGAGACTCCTAAGCACACTCTAACAAGGTTAATATGGTCTATATATTATCTTCACCTGTTTTGGACGTGCAAAAACTACAAAAACCAGAATCAAATTCGATCAAAAAGAAAAACAAGGTGCAAAGTTAGACAGTGAAAAGTTTCTGGACAGCCGCACAGATTTGATCATCGCCGGAGATCCGACCGTTGGATTTTTCTGAAATTTTCAGAGGGTGTTCTCAACACATGGAGCTTCAACGTGTTACAATTTCACGTCAATCGGAGTTACGGATCTTCTGTTATCAAAGTTACAATCTACACATTGTTGCTGATTTTTTGCAGAAAACACTGCCCTGGTTTTCTCGATGGTTCGAGTACCAAATCTTGTCTGATCGTGCTAAAATTTTAGGAGGAGTCTAAGGACTCGTGTAGCTTCAATCTGAACGGTGGAGATCGAATTTCAACGGTTCAATCTCGAGTTATGAGCTTCTGAACAGCCTGCATCTTTTTGTAGATCAAGAAGAATCTTTATTTGAAGGTGTATTGGAATCTACGTCCTTGAAGAAGATCTTTGAGAAGGTGTAACAAGCCGTGGAGATAGACGCAAACCGAGTTTGTCGTCAAGTCATTCGTAAGTAGACAAATCAATACATTAGAAGGTTCTGTTGTGATTGATTATGTAATTCTTACGGTAATTTAGTGGAAGAGCTATTACACGGACGTGGGCCTTGCAGACGTAGGAGAATTTGCTCCGAACTGCGTGAACAATTCTGGCGTCTTGCTTGCTGTTTTTACTTTATTTTCTACGTGTGTGCTTGTGACAGTCCGTCATCTGTTACTGTGACAGTGATGCGGCATATTCTCTACAACATAGTTGATTGTTTTGTTTGCATAGCTTGTGTTTGGTGTTATCCGCTGCGCCCCATGAGCTTTCAGTTAATTATATGGCTTACTTATAAACACTGTGTAAATATACATTGTCTTGGTGTACAAAGACAATGAACAATTTGAACAATTTTAAAATTTGTTGTGCACAAAGGCAATGAAAAATTTGAACAATTTTAAAATTTGTTGTGAATATGGATAGATGTGCAATGACACTAGCTAGCTCAATTAACTCGTAAATAAATTTGTTCAAAGCAGGCAAAGAGATACTTTTTAAAAATGTTGCATATGATATACCTTAATTTGCAATAAGCGTGTTCTTACTTCCCAAGTCAGTTTGTGGATGTATTGAAAGAACAATGAATGCGTTCTTGTGGAAGGGCAGTGTTACCCACAAGAGTGGCATTCATTAGATGTTTTGGGGTCGACTCTCTGTTCCCAAGAAATTTGGGGGATTGGGATTTAAGCATATTCTTGATTTTAATGTGGTGATGCTCGGGAAAAAAGGTTGGCGCTTTCTATTTAGCATACGTATTACTCCGTACATCAATTTTACTTGATTATAGATCAAATGTTGATCGTCTTGATTGATTGTAAAAGTCAAAAACTAAACAAATATTCCAGAACGGAAGAAAGATCAAGAAAGCACTCCACAGCTGCTCTTATTCTTTGCTAAAAAAAATTAAAAATGAATCAATACAACAATGTTTACACCCTACACTAAGAATGGGACAAAGTATATTCTTTTGTGGGAACATTCTCCTCCTGTGACTTTATGAGTATCAAGAAAAAATAGCTTCTGTGTATTGATCTATGTACACCATTAAATGGATCTATGTGTATATGTCAGCCAATGATATTATGGCAAGTAGAATCACATGGGTATGCACAATCAATCTGTTTGCTTACTCTTCTGCTAAAATACCAGTCCCCAACTGCCTCTGCAATAGTCTGCAAGAAATGTTTTGTTGGTATGTATAGAGATGTATAGAGATTTAAAGATTCAGCAGCAATAATGCTTAATAGGTTTTTGCGTATGTGTCTATGAATCCCTTTGGAGTTTTGGAAGGGTTTAAGAGCCAAATGATATTTATTTTGTGGACCTGGTTTCTTATTCGGGGAGAATCAACTGCAAACCATGTGTCCTGAGTCTCGCTTTGGCAATGAGCAAAACATGAATTTATGTACATCCCTCCTCTTACGGAGTGGTAATAGAGAGTTCTGAGATTGGCAAGCATGTCTCTTCTGAATCCTGCACATTAATGTCATCATACAACTATGAACTCATCAAGATAACATTTTCATATTCGCGTGATCACGTCTCATTACAAGATTGACAAGGCAAAAATCAACATGCACGTCATGGAACATGTTCATATATAATTTAAATGCTCCGTACAAGACTAGAGAACTGAAAAGAACAATAATCTGACCATGCAAAGTTCTAAGTTGTAATTGACTGCAGGCTGCTGGGTTGAGTTTGCAACCTTTCCAATGTCCACCAGGATCGGCAGAAGGTGGAACTAGTATGTGATGGAACTGCAGAGAGTGCATTAGTTTTGTAACTTTTGTCGTCAACTTTTCATCCCCAGTGTCAAACAAACGGAAACATACTAATAGTACATGGATGATGATGATCTTACTTGGTACACATCATATGCAGAGTTTAGGATGAAGAATGGTGTTTGAATGTAAGATAGTGCATATTGTGGGAAGATGCACTGCATGAACAAATCATAAGATTGAGAGTAAATAGTGCCATCATGTGGAAGGTGTTTTTACTTTTTACAGAAAAGATGATTGTACCAGTTCGGGATGGGCAAGAGAATCGGTGCAATTTCTGTTGAGAGTGTGTTCTGCTGCCTGTCAAACAATGTTCCGCTCATCAGAGAAAGCAAACCTTGATATTATCCCTACACTATGGGTGCAAGACCTAAATGTAGGGAAAAAAGGGCTTACATGTAGAAAAAGCATGTTCTGGTAGAAAGATCTCATGGTATAGTTTTGACTAATGTCTCTCCTGAAAAATGGCATGCACTGTAGTTAAATGAAATATGCAATTCTCTAAAAAGCGCTACTTGCCATGCACGGGAGGCTAACGGTATGGTGTAAATAGAGGCCAATGGAAGTGTGCATCTAAGTTGATATTATTAGGAGAGAATAGTTTGCATTTCAAGATTTTAATTTAAAATAATTCCAACTATATATAAGGGCTGAAGTACAAGCATAAATCTTACAGCATACGTTCTTCACTTATAGTCTTTTATGTGTACGCTAATTCTTGATTTATGATAGGCTAACAAAATTTTGAGATATAGATCTGACATTTTAATTTAAAATAAGCAAAACGTACTCATCGAGGAAGAATCCAGCATCACTCAAGCATTTGACACTTGTGGTATTAGGTAGATAACTGGTGAAGTTGTCACAATGCAGAAAAGTTGCCAAGCCACCGGCAGAACAACCAGAAAGCAGAGCCTAAAAATGAAGGCACTGAGAACACTATATCCACAAAGGCAACCACATGGTAAACTTGATCACACATTAAAACCATAAAGTGCAGAAAAATAAACTGTTCTAATAATCTTATCAAAAGTTTTGGTTAGGACTACTAATCGTGGTGAATAGGGGTATATATTTCAAATTTGACTATAGTATGATAGACTCAAAAGGTCCAGCAAGTCAGGTCATTTGACCTCCCTGTTTATGCCAAATAACTGGACAATTACAAGCAGAATACAAAATACCCTGGAGTAATAGCTTAAAGTCTATCAATCAAAAAGGGTCATTTTTCTCAATTTTCAAATCAAAATAGAAGTAGCAGGTGAAGA